GCAGCCCCACGTGAGGCTCCTCTGCCCATCCGAGCACCAAGCCCGAGCATTCCTCGGCTCCCACATACTTGTGCACCCATGTGAAGCACTGCAACCGAGCATCACCCGTGACCTACAACACGCGAAGAACGAGGGCATTCAACAGAACCAGAAACCAATAGGAAAGACAACAATCAATGTAGAATCACGGGGGATATGAATTGAAAAGGAGCCATCATCAAGAGAAAAGGGGGAGAGACCAGAGAGGAGGAGGATTCGGAACGGGGGTAACCATTCCGAGCAGAAGGGGTCAGTGATCAATTGGAGAACAAGCAAAGAACATTATAGCAGGGGAGGAGGTCACGAACAGCAGAAAAAGAAAGGGGAAATCAACAACGAAAAAGAAATCATCCACAACAAATCAACCATTGACATACAGTACGAAAAACCCTAATCTACCATCCATCGACGACAAACAGAAGAAGAAAGAAACACAAAGAAACCATTGAGAACGAGAGAACCACATCAGAAAACGACCATTAACAGTCCATAAAAACAGAAAAAAATCAGAAGACAGAGAGGAGAGCGAACACGAACAACCGGGTAGAACCAAAAAAACCAACAGTGATAGGCTTGGTTTTTCTACAGAACAGGGGATTTTCAACAGAAGGGGAAAAGCACTCAAGCAGAGAAGAACAAGGAATCGGCAACCAAAAAAAAATTTATGAAAAGCTTTACCTTGGGTTCTTAACGGCGCAAGCTCCGTAACTGATTGGCAAATCCCAATGGTGGTTGGAGGGGAAAGATTCTCCGATTCTTGTCTTCTAAATCCGGTTTGTGGAGGTCCTGGTACAGAAGAGAACCCTCGAGTTTCATCCTTTGTGTGTCGGATTTTCATCAGAGAACCCCAAAGCAGGGCCTTAGTCGTGGGTGGCCATGGTCTCCATCTTTTCTTCAAGGAAAGTGTAAGGCGAAGGCCATGGAAGCCTTTGGTGGCTCTCGGCTGTGAAAGGAGTGGAGGAGAGGGAGAACGGCGCAGAGGGGTGTGTGTTACAAATGAAGATTAGGGTAAGTTTTCATCTAAAGTTTATTTATATGAATTCTTCAAAACGGCGTCGTGTAGAACCTGGGTCTGTGATGGGTTCAATTCGTAAAGGCTCCCTTTAATTTGAATGCGTTGTGATTTGGTCCCTGCTTCGAGTTTATGTTGTTTTTTAAATATGGATCTTAATTTCAGGCGTATTTCATTTCAGTCCCCTTTGTTATTTATGTTGTTCCAAGTATTTGATCTCCAAAGATTGCATGTTTATATTTCTGTTTATTTATTTTACCCGAATTTAATTTTAGCCCTGAATTAGTAATGTGTTCATTTTAGTTTGTCTAGACATGTTGCTTTTATCTCCTTTATGTTTCGTTTTAGTCCCTAGGTCGAAGTTTGCGTGTTTCAAATTCTGTCTATTTATTTTATGGTTCATTTAATTTTCGTCCTAAATGTTGAGTTGTTTAATTTCTGTTGTTTAGATATCAGACTTTAAAGTTTTTGCATGTTACGTTTTAGTCATGTGGATTTGTCATTTTAAGTTCTTGTGATGTTGCATATTTGGCATAGCATTTTTCCCGGTTTTCATTTTAGTTTTATAGGTGGTCTTGGTTTTACTTTGATCTTAGTATATGCAATGCGTTGATAGGTTTTTTTTTGTGATCTTTGTTTAATAGTGATTTTAGCTTTAGATTTAGTTGCTAATTTATTTTAATCGTATGTTTACTTAATTTTCACATGACATCTCTTTTGCATAATTTGCATGATAGCCTCATGAGCATGACCCGACACCATCACATAATCGGATTAAGGGTAATGCCCTTTTAGTTTAAAACTGTTAGAATAGCTTTTCTTAACTTACAGAGAAGTTGTTCTTAATAGTTTTAAATTACAAGTGTATCCCGTCATTGTCACCAAAAAATTGATTCTTCACTTTAAAATTTGGGAGTGAAAGAAAAAGAAATGTTCGGCTATTTAAATTTGTTGAGAAAAGGTCGTTAGAACTGACCTAAAGATCCGGTCTCAATATATTTAAATAATCGAACATTCTTTATCTTTCTAATGGCTTGGTAATTTTAATTTAACTTATTTTGTTGCTTTTGAATGCTATAAATTTGCATTTTTGTTGTTAAAGGGGATCATTAATCAAATTAATTTGAACTTGTAAATTTCATTGCAAAGACATTAATTAATCGACTAGGTACCAATTTAGGGCGTTGTGGGGGTGCTAATCCTTCCCCACACGTAATCGACTCCCGAACTTGGATTTTGGTGACGTAGACCGTAAATTTGTCGTTTTAATTAAAATTAATTTTTATTTAAAATGACAACATTTTTGGGTGCCCAATCACACCCTAATCAAAGATTGGTGGCGACTCCTCGAACCTTATATTTTTATCATAAAGGAATTTCCAATTTTTCGAAACGAGAGATTTTCTAAAATAGCATTGTTTTTAATTAAAATTCAATTGAAAATAGAATAATTAAAAATGACGCGGTTTTCAAAATCTCGCCCCCCACCCCCGTTATAAAAATCGTTTCGACATGTATAATATAATAAAATACTAAATAGTAATAATAATAATAAATAAATAAAAAATAAATATACATATAATAATAACTAAAAAAATAATAATAGGGTTGATTTTATAAAAATGTATGTATAATATAATAAAATACTAAATAATAATAATAATAATAATAAATAAAAGAAAAATAAATATACATATAATATTAACTAAAAAAATAGTCACTTTAGTTTTTTATTTTTTATGAGGCATTTTGACTCTCAATGTTCCATTTAAGGATAAAAAAACCCTATTTTATACCATTAATCATTGTTAAGCAATAATTTTCACATTATAAAGGGACCTTTTTGTCTCAAAATAAAATATCAAGAGTTAAAATGCTTTAAAAAATTAGTGTCAAAATAATTATTTAATTAAATGATATGAGTATTTTTGATATTATACCTTTATAATAAATGTATTATTGTTTTCATGGTTAGGCATTAATTTATCCCATTATTTTGTGATGGGGACCTACCATCAATAAAGATTTTTTTTATTATCATAATTTGGTAAATAATAGATCCGGTGCTTTAGGAGAAGTTTCACGTGCAACAGTTTAATATACGGTTAAGGAAATACATTATCGGAAATATTATTATTTTTTAAATATTTTTGGTAAAAAAATTACCTAAAACATTATTATTTCTACTGAAAATGTTATTATTAGACGCTTTATCGATTTTTTAACATATTCGATAAAGTGTTATCTAAAATATTAATTTTTTTTATCGAAAATATTAAAAAAATAATAATATTTCTGCTAACATTTTTCCTTAATTGTATATTAAAATTATCGTATGACAGAACTTCCCATGCTCTAGTCTCACTGAAAGTGTATTTAAAAAAAAATTAGATTAATTATTACTTTTACTCTTTGGTTTTTCCTCGTCTACCCTTTATTGTAATAATTCTTTTACATATTATTTACTTTCAATGTTTGGTAGTAGGTGTAAGGTCTAAGTAATGTACTCGCACGTTAACTCTTTTTGCCTATTCTTTTCTTTCCGTGTTACCAGTAAGGTACTATGTATTTTATTAGAAAGCATTTTAAAAACATTTTTTAATAATATAAATAATGAGATATGATGTAATATCTCAATCTCATTTATGAAAATAGAACGACAAAGTTTGTATGAACAATTTATAGCCTTTTCTGTTATAAAATTAAAAGTGTGCACTTTTAACTTTCTACTAAAACATTAAAATATAAAATATTAAATTTGAATAATTCATATATAATTTTAATATAACATTTAAAAAATGAATAGTCATTATAAAGTATAAAGTATATATGTTTATAATTTTTCTTAACTGATGACAACGTGAACACATCATACTCGTTATTTTAGATAAGTTATTCAATTTAGTTCAATATATTAAGGAAATGAGAAAAAAAAATAAGAAAATTTAGTTCAATATATTAAAGAAAGTGAGGAGAAAAAAGAAAATTTAGTTCAATATATTAAAGAAAAGAAGTATTAAAATTTTAGACACCGTTTTTAAATTTCTAGATCAACCACTAAATGTAAACGCAGCTGCTCAAATCCAAGAGTTCAAGAGAACAATACTCTCTTTAACTACTGAGACTGCTAATTGAATTTTATAACATTCAAAAATTAAATATATGTGTGATCATCGAATCATATCATATTGCAATTGAATCAATTAAATTGATAATATTAAATTATATACAGTGTGAATGTTATAAATCGTGAAAAAAATAAAAATAAAATATAAAAATCAGATTAAATCAAAGAAATATTTTTATATAATTATAATTAAATAAAAAAGGATCATCTAAATTGTTTGATCATCAATCCAAATTTTATATTATTATTACATAACCGTTTAGGGGTGAGAAAATACAAATCGCTTCAAAAATCGATTTCTTTAAACTTGAAAAAACTCGAATTAAAGTAAGTTGACTTATAATTTTATAAACTCGATTCGAAACTTTTTAAATTCAAGTCGAATTATAAAATAGAACTCAAAGTATGATATATGTATACCACATATAAAAAATAAAATATAAAGAAATATATATATATATATATATATATATATATATATTGTATATGATTATAGAAAATCATTTAAATTGAAATTAAACAATATCATAATATTATAAATATTTACAATTAAATTTAAACAAAAACTCTTGTCTCAACTCAAAAAAATTAATTAAAATTTTAAATTATAAAATAAAATTTAACAACTTGAATAACTTTAAAAAATTTAACTTAGCCTCAAACAACGCATCAAATGATGATGACACCTATAACCATCCCCTTGCCCCGCACCCCGCCCCACCTTTTTTTTTCTTTTTACAAATAAACTTTGATTGTTCCCAAAATAATAGTACAATAAATCTATCTTATTAAAAAAAATCTAGGAAGTGGCCTATGGGATAGATAAATAAATGTAGACCGGGTGAAAAAGGAAGCGACCCTCCTCCTCTAAAATAAGCAACGATCATCTCTAATTTCCCCCAATCCTCAACGCTTTCAAGTTTTCGAATTGAGGAGCACACCGGGAACAATGGTAAACTTCACCTTCTTTATTTGTTTTTCTTCCAAACTTTAGAACTTATAATTTCCCGCCTATCATTTGCTTCAATTCTTTCGATTTCCCATAAATGGTGAGATCCGAAGTCGTATCACGATTTCACAAAGTATTTGCTGCAAAAAGCGTATTTTCGATTTTTTTTATTCTTCTATCTCTATTAAGCATTTGAATCTGTAATGGGCTTTTATAATGATGCTCTTATGCTTCAACTCTTAAACACATTACTGGATTTTTTATATTAAATTTGGTTTTATTTTCTGGGCCTATTTATGAATGTTAGTGCAGTTTTTGTTTTTTTAAGGCGTTTATTAAGGTTCTACTTTTTTTGGGATCCCAAACTTTTTATCCAATGTTATACGATTCCTTTGTCTTATTGATATTTTTCAGAATTCCCGTTAAATTCTAAAGAGAAAAATGATTTGTTTTAAGTTAATTTGAGGATTATGGTTTCGAGGTATTCAGTGCTTCGATTTAAATCTGAATTAGGGGTTAGCTGTGTGTAGCATGTCATATGGTAATGCCGTGTGTTATGGCTGATTGGTATGCATTTTCGCAGGATGGGCAAAATTCAGATGAGTCAAAGCAAAACACCAGTGATATGTCGATTTTTGTGAGTTACTCAACCCTGTTTTGTAACATGTAATAATAATTGCTTTTAGTGTGTGCTGTTTTGCTATTACCATGACGGAATAACTGTTACTAGTATCCATATACTATCGACTTTTAGGTTGCAAAGTCGTTGATTGATCCTAGTCGATTAGTAAAATATTAGCAATTATCTACTTTGGTTGTCGAAGTGTATTTCTTTTTCTTAATAGTATTTATTTATCGATTTCTTTGACTGAACTTTTTGTAGGTGCAAAATCTTCTTCAACAAATGGTGAGTTATAATTAGACCCTTAGTTGTTTGAAATATCTCAGTTATTGACAAATATTTTGTTTACAGCAAACCAGGTTTCAAACAATGTCTGATTCTATTATCACAAAGAATATCCTTTTCATGTATTTTTAAATTCATTTGAGCATGTTCTTTTTTGTGAGATAAAATTTGTCAAATATGCGGTGTGCCATTGAGTTGCTTATTTGCATAAATGATAATTTCTTAGAAAAAAATTGTCTATGTTTATTAATTTAGCTTTTCCATTGTATTGTTATATGAGTAGCCAAGTAGGTTGAATTGTATATAATATATACTTTAGCATCATATTTGTCAACTTATTGATAAATATTGGAATATTAGGCTAAGCTTCATGAACAGTGTTTTGAACCCTTCATCTAATGAATGTTTTGCTAGTCGGATATGAAAACGTGTGAAACTTTGTTCTATTTTGAAGTATTTTAGCCTCAAGGGAAATGGAAATATTTAGTTAGTTACTTTAATATTACTGTGAATTTTGTGACACCTATTGTGTACTTAACTTCAAAGCACTTGATGAGATGGGAGACCGTATAAATGAGCTGGAGAACAGCATCAATGACCTAAAAACAGAGATGGGAGCAGAGGGCTCTCCTTCGCCTTTAGCCCCATCAAAGCAAAAGTCAGACTCAACAAAACATGAGGATGGCTCAGCATAAAACTAGGCCAAATATTGTATTTAGCAGTTGATTATGATTGTAATTCGGTGACATCTTGTTTTGTTTCAGACTACTTTCGGGGAGAGAGAGCAGGGACATTACTATGTTTCCCTCTTTTCCAGGTTTTTTTTACATGTACCAAGTTTTTATTCAATGCACTGGGTTTGACAATTTATAGAGGGAAGTAATGAATATGTAGTGTGTTAAGATCGAATGCAACTTTTAGATAAATATATAATTATCATTTAAGAGATATATCTTAAGAATATTTAGATTAATATAGAAAAAGTAGTTATTTAGAAATATTCATAAAATAATATTGATATTTTTAATATTTAAAATCATATCTAGAATTATCTATTGGAAGAATTTAGATATTTGTAATGTTAAATGGTTAAGATGCCAACAATCAAATAGCCACTAAAATTTATAAATGGAGGTGAGTTTTACCGTTGTAGTAAGAGTGAAAAAGAGGAAAAGTGTGCCAAAATGCAAGTTAAAAATAATAATATTATAATTTTCTAATAAATAATATTATTTATTATATTTAATATTTATAATAAAAATTTCCTAAAAAATTATCAACGACTTTTCAGAAAATCTAATTTATTGTACAAAAATCATTTTTAAAAATCTATCTAGAATTTATTTTTAGTGAGCAAATAGACTTTTGGGTCTGCTTGGTTTTAAAAAGTATAAGTTATTTTCATTTTATTAGAAAATAGAAAACATGTTTGGATGTAAAATTGAAAAATGGTTTCTGGAAAATAAAAATAAGTGAAAAAATGGAAAATAAAAAAAGATGGTTTTAGTATTTTCATTAAAATTGTTATAGAAATTTGAAAATAAGGAAACATGTGATCTAGATTTTTAAATTAATTTACACATATTCAAATTATTATAACAATAATTTTTTGATTTAATGGTATATGAAACCCTCAAACTTTTACAAAATAAAAAAATCAATGTGGTCCATGAAGTTTTTTTACACTCAATATAGTTCTTAGATTAATTTCTTTAATAATTTAATTTTGTAGTATTTTATATTTAATGTATTGAATATCTTAATAATTGTTTATATTTTATATTTAAATTTAAATATTTTTTTAAATAATAAGTCCTCAAACTTTCTAAAAATCAATTAAGTAATAACTTTAGCTAAAAAAATAAATAAGTCATCAAATTTTCTAAATCTATTTTACGAGGAAAGCTTGTGTGATGCTTCTATTAAAGAATTTGCTTGTTTTTGAGAGATTTTTATGGGTTGCTTGGGGTGAGAGTGTATGTGTTCAAGGGCATTGACCTTTGGTAGGTGGAATGCAAGCCTTCTTTTAGTTGGGTGCTGAGAAAGATTTTGAAATCAAGGGAGGAGGCTAGGCCTCTGTTTAATAGTGCAACAGATTGGAGTAAGGACATCACTAGATGGCCATAGAATGAGATTCGAATCAAAAAGCTTAAAATGGGATGGCAGAAACTCTTGTGGCTCTCTGTAAATGTTCCTTTATATAGCTTAGGGTATCCAATGGCAGCATGCTTTGTTGCTTCTTGGATAATAAAAGAATGCAATTTATCCAAGAAACAAAGCATAGCTAAAAAAAATCAATTAAGTACATTTAACTCATCATCGTCTATCGTGAACCATCACAATAATATCGTAAAATGTCACATTAATATCGTATATTGTCATGTAAGTTTGTGAACTATCATGTAAGCTCGTGAAAATCAACGTTTGATTCCGTTCTTTAAAGAGTTAGATTAATTTTTTCATTACAAAAAAATGTTCATGGACTACACTAATTATTTTTCTCATAGCTTGAGGGTCTCGATTATCATTAAATATATTTTTAATTTAATAACACTTTTGTGTGCTCTTGCTTATAACAATATTTTTGTGTATTTTTAAAATTTAATTGATGTGCAATATACAATAATATTATATTCTTATTATAAATTGAAATAAATTTTGTGTTACATAATTTCTTATAAACTTTATTGTTTTATATTCGCATAACTCATATGTTAAATTAATGTAATGAATTTTTGTAATAATTATAGTTTTATTTAAATTTTAATAAATATTTATTTAATTTTATTTTTAAAAATTAAATACCAAATACATTTTTATTATTTTATTTTTAGATTCAAGTTTTCATTTATACTCACTAAAAATGTTTTTTTATTTTTAGAAAACTGAAACTGAAAACTATTTTCTGAAAATAAAAACTAAAACTAAAAATAGAAAATATTTTTTTATGACCAAACAAACTCTTAAGTTTCTTTTGATATTAGTAATGCTATTATGGTTTTCTTTTGATATGGGAGAAGCAAGCATATTTATTTTATTAATAATAAATATTTTTTAGTTATCAGATGTGGATGAATTCAATTGGAAAGACTCGAACATCTTAGCTCCTGTGAAAAACCAAAAGAGCTGCAGTGAATGAATATTTTTTAATTATAAAATTTTGATTTTCCATTTTTTCCTTTTTGAAGACTGTTGTTGGGCTATAGTAGCCGTCGATATCATAACATCACATTGGGTCTTATATAAAGGTGAAAATATCAAATTTTCGGCATAATAGTTAATAGATAGCATCAAGCCTGACAACCAAGAACCAGATAAAGGAGGCTGTTTTACATTATCGATCAATACATCATTTTGCTGGATAATAGAAAACATGATCAGTGAGGAGGGTGAATATCCTTTTCAAAATGAGCCAATTATTTACATTTATTAAAATTTAAAAAGTAGAAACGTATTTATATTTATATAATATTAATTCTTTTATTTAATTTTTTATCAAGGTTTCAAGATATCCGCGGGTAATAAGTTATTATCATATTCCCCATAAATATCAAAGTCAAAAGGATCTTTTAATCGCCGTAAAAAACCATCTTGCAGCTGCAGCGATGCTGGTAGATGAGAAGCTTAAAAAATTCACAAATGTTAGTTTTATTATTTATTTAATTTGATAATTTATTTTGACATTTAAAACTGAATTATTATTATTATTATTATTTTATCAGGGGACAATGTATTCTGGTCCATCAGAGTTGTCGGCTTATGTTGGAGTGCAGCGCGCAGTCCAAATAGTTGGATTCGGCCAACAAAAAGATTTAAGAACAGTGCTGCCGGAACATTAATTAATGTAGAAGGATGTTTGCATCCTATGCAGCTTCAAGAACAATGCCACCAGAAAACGAATGTAGAAGGATGTTTGCATCCTATGCAGATTTAAGAACAGTGCTATTATTCAAAATTTACCACCTTATCAGTGATGAAAGCCATAGCCCATAGGCAGAAGAGTGGATTATCAGCCGTGGAGAATTGTATACCATAATTCAACAGCTTAATAACTCAAAGTTTATTTTAGTTGTTCTAATACCGTGAAATTATTTGGACGTTTCAATTGTTAGATAAGGAGTTGATTACTTTTCCATGTTCCGCTTAGCTGCATATGGAGAACCTTTGATTACTTTGAGAATATGCAAGTGAAATCAGAACGAGTGATATAATTTTATCTTGATGTCAATGAGATGGAACAAGCGATATAATTTTAACTTGATGTCAATGAGACGAAGGTTTTAATTCTTTGGTGAGCAACATCATTATTCAAGATTAAAGACCATAGTTTCTAATGGGACAATGTAGGCATAATATTTGTAAGATCAACTTGACCTATCGAATAGACTATAGAGATGGTCACACTGTCACACAACGCATAAACCAACATGCAGCCACGATTACAAACCTCTCATTATTCATCAAATACTAGTAGATTTTGATTGCATCCCAACTGATCTTCACAGCTTCTGTTTCTGCATATCGAGGACCTTGGACCAAGCAGGCCTTGCAGTGATATCAACCACCCAAGCACTAACATGTGGACGTGAATCAAACAGCTTCTTGGCCGAACTTCCAATCAAATACTGAACATTAGGCAGGTGGTGCAGATCCGCCAAGGTGAAGTGGTCACAAGCCAAATACTTGGACTGAGCCAAACGAGCCTCGTACACATCTAAAACTTTGGCAAGCTCAGCTTCACTTTCCTCGACAACTACGGTGTCGATAGCCATCCCAAAAATGGGCTTGTAATGCAGCTCAAAGACTAGCTTCGTTGATGGAGGATTGAAGTGGTGAGCTTCAACTTCCTTCCACAATTGCAGAACCGCCATAGTCTTGTTAGATCCCGGCAACAACAGTTGAGTCCCCTTGTCGTTGTATTCTTGGGAAATGTATTGAGTGATTGCCCTTGATTCTGCATGTTCAAAAAGGGTCAGCTAAAGAGTACAAGTAACAAACAGGTTCTCTTTTTGCTGTCATAGAAAATTACCAAAGAGCTTCAAGTCCCCTTCTTCAAAAGCTGGAACTTGACCGAATGGCTGTTTCAACCGAGCAGATGAGAAACATTAGATCATAAATGGGTTTAGTGAAAAAATGAGAGATCTGTGATTGATACTTACGTTGAGGGGAAGGAAGTTGTCGGATTTATGTTGGCCAGCTCCCATGTCTACATTAATAAACTGGAACTCAACATCTTTCTCGTATAGGCAAGCGAGAACCCTGTGAGTTGATGTTGAAAAAGGGTTTCCATGCACCTTCATGACTGCCATTGTTGTTCGATCAACTACAACTTCAAAAGATGACAAATATTTGTGGGTACTTTTTCTAAGAAAGAAGCAGTCTGTATATATAGGCGGGAGGATGTACCTTTCTGTCATTCTAGAATGGTCGAAATCAAAAGATTAGCAGGGCCACGGGCATGTTTATCTTCCTGTTCATACCTACCTCCCATGCGACACCAAAACGTAACCGTACTTTTATGTGAAAAAATGGGTTTCTTACCTAAATATAATGTTTTTAGTTCATTACCATAATAACATCCATCTCTAAATATTTGATAAACTACAGTATTTGCATCAGGTAAGATAGACATGTATTGAGTCAGACACGTCTTTTGAAAAGTAGGTGCCATTTAATATGGTTTTATCCTACATAGGACACTTATCGGTAAATTAAAAATTATCGCAAAAAGAATTATCTTTATCATATGAACAAATTTCAATCAATTACCATACTAAAATTCATATCTAAATGTTTATTCAAATATTATTTATTTATGTCAAGGAAAATAGATGTGTTTTTACCTTAACACGTCCGTTATTTTTCAAAAGTTTTTTCCTATATTGATTTAGAGCCTTTGTCACGGTTAGAAGATGTGGTAAGAATAGTGATTCTATAATAAAATACATATTAATATTTTATATAAAAAATCATTTCGAGAAAACTCAAAGGAAGAAGAGTTTTTTTTTTTACTAATATAGAGAATAAAAAGCTTATTAAAAATGTTTAAACTATACCTCTTTTTTCGTTAAATGCCTAAACTTTTTTTAATCAATGTATGTATCTAACATTCAACCGTAACAGATGTTAAAAAAATTTCGTCAACCATTTAGAATATGACATGTGGTGCATTTATAAATTTTATAAATTTAATTTTAAAAAAACTTAAAATTATTATTATTTTTAAAAAAATCTTAAAAAATTCTAAAATCTCAAAAAGTTTCAAATGATTTAATCCCAAAGCATCCACCCCACTCGTCGATCATCCACCGCCGTTGTTGCCCCGCCCGACTGCCTACCCACATGCCGCCTCCTACCCACCCACCAACCAGTCTGTTCATCACTTTTCACAAAACACATTAGAAACACTCGTTGTATCTACAACGACTTGCTTCGACTTGCTCGATACCACTTATCACAGGGCTAGATTATTGCTAGATTATTCGTGCGACACTTAGACGTTTTCTTAGTTGGATTGACACCTAAGTTAGTTTTAACTACGTCATTGTGAGAATCCAAACTCACCAGACGACGAACAAACCCGTTATGATTAGACAAAGAGGTGAAAGCCAAATACTGATGGGCTAAACAACCCACCAAGGTTGAACATCTTGCGAGAATGTAAACACTGCCAGAGCTCTCTAAGTCACCATGAGAGACAATAAAACACAAATGTAGGCTTGTAAATGAATCGAACGAATACGAATGAGGGTATGTTCATGTTCGTTTATTTAATTTTAACCGAACAAATGAACGAACACGAACATAAAAGAACAAAAAATTTATTGTTCGTGTTCATTCATTAAGGAATGTAGCTTGTTCGTGTTCGTTCATTTAAATGATAAACGAACACAAATGAACGAACATAAACGAACAAACGTAAACGAACATAAACGAACGTAAATGAAAATATTTTTTTTCTTTCCTAACAATTTTATGATTATATTATATTTAATTGTTTTGGGCTTTTTTTTATTTGTATTTAAAATTAATTGAATTTTAAAATATTTATGGGTATCATATTAAAATTTATTGGACTTTAATATTTTAAATGAGTATAGAGAGATTGGACTAAACATAATTAAACGAACATAAATTAACGAACATAAAGGAACATATTACCGAACATTCACAAACGTAAATGAACGAACGAGTCATTTGTTTATGTTCGTTGATTTAATTAAACGAACACAAAATCTTGTTCATGTTTATTCATTTAATAAATAAATGAACATAAACGAACTTCAAGCCAAACAGTTCATTGAACGTTCAATTCGTTTACAAGCCTATACAAAGGCATAGAACAAAGAGAAATAAGCTAAAAAGCTTAAGAAACAAAGCAAAGGAAGCTAAGAGTAAATGATTTATATTTTATTCAGAAAGAATGAAATGATTACAGATGATAGGAGAAAACATTTATTTATAGTTAAGCCTCTCAAGATTTACTGGACTACATTACGTCTTACATTGAATCTTACATTATTAAATCTCTGTTTTTATCTTTTCTAAGATATTCAAATTCAAACCAATATTATCTACATTATTCCTTTAACTTAAGTACTTATCTCTTCATAACTAAAGGGATAATCGTATCCTTTATGGAATTTTCCAAGGACTGGATCAAGTCTGATTTTCTAGGCAAGCCCACGACTCTGCACACTCTTCTCTGCGAATATTCATGCACATATCTTGGTTTCGAATCTACGGGCCTCGACATTTACCCCCACTGAACCTAACAATGTCCTCGTCGCTCATCTCGAACGGACTCAGACTTGATCTTTCACGGAATCATTAACATTCTCCAAGTTCTGAGTCAAACTCAAGTCTGCGCCAAGAACCTCTTTTGCAAGTACTTGCACATAAGTCTTGGACCCAAATAAGCGGGTAGTGACAATATCGTTCGAAATAGGCAAGATTTCAAACATCTAGCACACAATAACCAACTGACATCATTTTTCACTCAAATCGATCAGTGTAGCACGAATTAAGTGACATCGATAGTAAAGAAATAGATGTTATCCCTTAAGGTTTCGCGTTCGAGCACAAGATCAATTATTGCATCCTATGTTTGGATTAGTGTACTCCAAAAACACAAAATTCTTGAGACCCCATGTTCCGTAACCAAATTTTTTATCTCAAAACGGACATCCATCTTCTCTCCAAGTTCCCGATCCTTTTTCCCTGCCCCAATCATAAGCTTCCTCCTGTTATTCAAATCAGAATCCGTCAGAGACAAACTCATCCCTCCTTTCTTTCCTTTCTCATAGCTTTATCTCTCTTTCTCTTCTCCTTATCATTTAACACCTTCCCCTACATGTCGAGCATAGATCCATATTTTTTTTCGAGGGATGCCCGAATTAACCCCCTTTGATCACTTTGAATCTAATTGATAGCTCCCCCCTGCGGAGGATCCTTGGTTCATCATTACCTTATTTGAGTTGAATGCTCTGCTTAAATAGTACCTTCTTCAATATCCTATGCAACACAACGATCCACCTCTGGTCCATTAAATCCATCAAGCCTATCAGACCCATGATTAGGACAAGATCCACCTTCACAGCCTCTATGGCATGCGATCCATGCTCCACAATTCCTAATTTTCCTTGCCTCTGACCGTTCAGACGAATGTATGAACCATTTCTAAAATATTGTTGCTTTCTCCATTTTTAACTTGGACATTGATTCTTGGTCTTTAAAAACCAATAAAAAAGTCGACCCGGCCATACTAATTATTGAGCCGCGATTAACTTCTTCTTGCATTCCCCTAGCCAAATGCTCCGCCTCCGGCGTCATGAAGTTCTAACACTACTAAACTGATTAAGCCAGGTAGGACATTGGTTAAGCTGCATATCGAGGACCTTTGATTACTTTGAGGATGTGTAGAAGTGATTTAAGCAAAATCAGAGCAAGATATATAATTTTATCCAGATGTAAATGAGACCAAGGTTTTAATTCTTCAGTGAGCAACATTATTATTCAAGACTCAAGACCATAGTTTCTAATTTGATAATGCAGGCATAATATTTGTAAGATCAACTTGACCTATCGAATACACTTGTGATAAGTAGAGATGGTCTCACAGCCACACAACGCTTAAAACAAAATGCAGGCACGCTTATAAACCTCTCGTTATTCATGGAATACGAATAGATTTCGATTGCATCCCAACTGATCTTCACAACTTCTGCATATCGAGGACCCTGGACCAAGCAGGCCTTGCCGTGATATCAGCTACCCAAGCACTAACATGTGGGCGAGAATCAAACAGCTCCTTGGCTGAACTCCCCATCAAATACTGAACATTAGGGAGGTGATGCAGATCCGCCAAGGTGAAGCGGTCACAAGCCAAGTACTTCGACTCAGCCAAACGAGCTTCGTAGACATCTAAAACTTTGGCAAGCTCAGCTTCACTTTCCTCGACAACTGCGGTATCGGTAGCCATCCCAAAAAAGGGCTTGTAATGCAGCTCAAAGACTAGCTTCGTTGATGGAGGATTGAAGTGGTGAGCTTCAACTTCCTTCCACAATTGAAGAACCGCCATAGTCTTGTTAGATCCCGGCAACAACAGTTGAGTCCCCTTGTCGTTGTATTCTTGGGAAATGTATTGAGTGATTGCCCTTGATTCTGCATGTTCAAAAAGGGTCAGCTAAATAGTACAAGTAACAAACAGGTTCTCTTTTTGCTGTCATAGAAAATTACCAAAGAGCTTCAAGTCCCCTTCTTCAAAAGCTGGAACTTGACCGAATGGCTGTTTCAACCGAGCAGATGAGAAACATTAGATCATAAATTGATTTAGCGAAAATGAGAGATCTGTGATTGATACTTACGTTGAGAAGAAGGAAGTTGTCGGATTTATGTTGGCCAGCTCCCATGTCTACATTAATAAACTGGAACTCAACATCTTTCTCGTATAGGCAAGCGAGAACCCTCTGAGTTGATGTTGAAAAAGGGTTTCCATTCACCTTCATTACACCCCGAGCAAGGTTATTGATTGGGGTTTCAATTGACACTCCAAGATTTTTTGAGAAATTTTTTGTATTTATAAATTTTATAGAAAGAAATATTAAAGATGAATATAATACCACCTTTAAGAAAAATTGACACCAATTTTCTATATCATTATACTGGACTCTAGATTTTCTAACTCTACTATGAATAACTGCCATTGTTGTTCTGACAAATATTTGTGGGTACTTTTTCTAAGAAAGAAGCAGTATGTACTATGTATATATAGGTGGAAGGATGAACCTTTCTGTCATTCTAGAGTGGTCCACTTCAAAAGATCAACAGGGCCAGTGGTATGTGAAACTTAAACGTAACGTATTTGCATGCGGAAAAATGCCACGCTGAACAAACACAAAACTCGATATCAACTGCAGATTACTGGATAAACTCCATCTGCAATTTTTCAGCATGCTCGAGTAGTACTGTTTGGAAGTTTGAGGCTGTGATTTTGCTGGTGTGAGCTGTACTTGTTTAATTTGTTTCCTTACTTTCTTTATTGCTTTTTTAGGCTGATGTTTGTTACTTTTACCTTGTAAGTCCTTATTTCCTTCAATAAAAGTCTACACTTGGTAAGGAATTCAATATTGATGGTAAGCAAAACAATATTGGATTTTAGTTTATTTAATTCCAATAAATTTTACCCACCATCCCTCACCTATTATAGAAAAAGTTATTTATCTAAAATTTTAGTTAAAATTAAATTCATTTCATTCGAAGAAATTTCACCAGTGCTCACTAAAATAATAATTTCTCTAAATAAAAAACCAACAAATCCTTGATCTTGTGGAAGAAGTTGATCATGATGCAGCAAATTGTCTTGCTCAACTCAAATCTTCCTCTAGTGTAGAAGAAATTGACCCTACTGTATTAAATGCTTTTCATCTTTGATGTTAATGAGAAAAGGGTCGAAGGCAGGGTTAGATTTTTCTGTGTGTTTTTTATTGAAAATATATTTTTATCTACTTGAATTTTATAACTTAGTATTTCCTTAAAATTTTAGAAATTCACCCCAATATAAAATTTTACGTCCGTCTCTAGTCGAAGACACTATTATTGATGTCTTAGAATTAAAAAAAGAAAAGAGGGGACAATGAGAGAACTGATTAAGATGGATCTTATACAATCTTTATTCCTACTGCCAAAGTCCAAGAAAAGATCCTAAGTGAGGAATTTTGAAAGACAAGACGAAACCCTACAGTAAAAAAATGTTGCATGATGTTGGAGTTTGATTCAAATTCAATGTAACACATATTAATTAAGAGATAATTGTGATTAATATGTGTATTGTTATCTTTTAACAAAGATATCTAAGTGGGTCAGAGAAAAAGAAGATAATAGTAAAGAGTTCACTCGATTTTGATACTTTATATGCCCCTGGAATACGATCAAAGTTCACTAAGCCTTCGTGTTTGGTAAGATTCACTAAACTAACAAAACAAATCTTTATTATTGAATAGAACGCATATAATGAAAGATTTGCAAAACATAGGGTAGATGACTATACTGAGCATGATAGTTTGATGCCCTCAGTTCAAGAACATTATACTAAAATTATATACAAATCTTAAAAGATCACATGTCCAATCCTAATTCTGATCATTACCAACAAGTCTCTGCTTATTAAGATTGTTTAGCTTGACTGATATTTTATGATCTACATTTTATCTGTTGATTTGTCTAGTTTTACTGTGTTTTTTGTTGTTGCTTATTTCTTGTTTATTATCTTGAATACAATATTTATTAATATTGGGGTTCTCTCCGGAAAAGTACCTTTAAGTGTCCATCCTCTCTTGAAAAAGAGTTGAACTCCTCACTATTGAATTATCGATTGTGAGACTTTCTGAAAAGATCGTGAAAACATTGGATTAAAATTAATAATTATGGACACGTATCTATAATTTATAATGTTATCATCAAATATAACATAAAGTTAAGTAATCAATTATATTATATGCATTATATCTATTAAAGTGTCATGGAGTTAAAATGTTTTTAAATGTTTTTTATATAAATTCTAAATTTAACCCTAATCTTATCTAGAATGAAGAGAATGAAGAACTCTAGGAGAATGAAAGAGAGTACTCCGAGTGGGTATAAAACCTATGACCTAAGGGAATATGAAATAACAAAGATTAGCAACTTGATCACCCAACCAAACGCGCTTGCTCAATTTTTAATCTTATCTTTAATTAATTATTTTTAGTTAATATATAATAGTTCTACTACGCTCGGAAAGTTGAATTTAAATAACTCAATTTAAATACAATTTACTACATAAATGATAAGAATAAAATTTGTATTATACATAAATTAACTAATATTTATTATTTAATTTGACTATCTATTTTTCTTTTTGTATTGCAAAAGAGTCACATTAACCTACATTCTTAACACGTCATCTCCTGCGGCATCAGCCCCTAACAGGGGATTAGTTTATTTGGAGGTACAGTTAAGATAGTGAGCTCGTCCGAGGAGTTAGAAAATTTATTTTGAGGTGATAAAATAAAAAATTTTATAATTTTTTTGAGTGTATGAAAATAAATAAGAAGTGTCAGTTTATGTTTACAAGTACCCATATATTTTAAAATATATTTATTTTATTTTTAAATATTTTTATATTAAATTTATAAAAAATATATATTTTCTAAAAAAATTTGGGGTGTCAAATTAATACACTGGCTCTGCCACTAGACGCCACGTTGATCAATTAATCTCCGCACTTGTTTCCTTCGTACCAAATGTGTCTAACTTCATATGCCCATCATTTTCTTCGAAGTTTTTTACAATCGCTTACTAACACATTATTTGATCAGTATTTCTCAATTAGTTTACCGTTCAGGACATCGGCCACCCATTTCATATCCATCTCTAAAATAAGTTTATTTGAAAAAGGTAATGATATTATCATCAACAAAAATCATGAGTATTTTAATAAAATAATCTTTATAAATCTTAAAACGAAGATACCTTAATTTAAAAAAAAAAAAAAACACCAAAGGAGCAAAAGCATACATTTGTTTAGTGAAAAAAATGATGTACAAAATCATGTTCATTGAGTAGCTTTGAAGTAAATTACACACCTACATCATGAAGGGACGTTACTTTTATATTAAAAGATGAATTTTTATAATTTTAAAAAATTAAAAGTATAAAATTTTAAAAATAAAAATAAATTATCAATTAAAAATATATGATAATTTGAAATTTACATTAAAAAAAAGCTATCTCCAATCACTCTTCTATATTCATTCCTAACCATCATGTAATATTGATATATATTATGGTAATATTAAATTCAGGGTCGGATATATTCTCATTGATTATATATTTATTGCATTAGTTAATGAGACAATTGAAGGAATATATACAAAGGTGTGCACATGATTTCGCCTCTTTTCCAAACTGTTGATTCACATTCTTTGCCACTGTAGTTTTATATTCTTTCTTCCTATATCTACTCTAAAAAATTTCATTATATTTGACAAATCTTTGATTATGTACTTGAATTAATATCAAATAACTTTTATATCTCAATCCGTACGTTAACGTCCAACTCATATGACATTTAATTTTTAATAGTCGAGGGGCTCAACAAAGCAACTCCCTATAATCGGAGAACCATTTTATAACTTTTAATGCTCAGAGACTCAACAAAATAATTCTCTATAATATGGGGACCATTTGTGTACTTTATCCTTTCTTTATTAAATTCTACTAGGAAATAGGTAGCTCGATTTATATTTATTTGAAAATTGAAAACTCATTTTTCTAAATGATAATAAATATTATTATGATGTTTTTTCTCATATTTTTATAGAATATTTAAATAGAATAAAAAATAAAGTATCAAACGTGATATTAATAAATATTTATATAAAATTTTTACTACTTCACTTGTAGTTATTCGCAAAGTAATTTTTTTTAAAAATAAAAAATGTTAAATATTATTTAATTATAAAACAAAATATTTATTTATCCTTATTTTATTTTTAAAATTTAAGATTACGTTGATCTAATTATATTTTTACAATAGATTCAGAACTACAACTAAAGATCCGAAAAAAATATTTAAATTCAAATATCTTTTCTAAACTATTCTCTATCCAAGTTTATATATGCAAACAACTTCCATCATCAATCAATAAATAATTAAGAAGATAAATCTCATGCTTAGTACTATAAATAGTATGCATCATCGTGTTGGGTTTGGTGTTCTTATATATATACATATAATAATAATATGATCATCAAGATTAATGATCTTAATAATTTCTGTAGACTTTTTTAAACTTTAATTGGTCTATACGTGGCACTATATACGAAGTCCAGAGTTTCAGGATCGTGTACCCGACCACATGACTTCACAAATTAAAAAGTAAGATAATTTCTTGTCGTGTATTGTGACATAATCTCATGTAAAAAAAAACCTAAATAGAAGGTAATCCAACTTTAGTAGTGTCTTAATTTTTAATTAACTCAGTCTCTTTTTTAGGTCATCAAATTTGGTTGCATAGCACACGTGCATATCTTAAAGTCCACAAGTTTCAAATTCGTGACATTTTTTAAGGTTTTCTAGTTCCAACTTATTGATAGCACTGAGTGTCAAGGACCATGAAGGGGGGCCATTGTCTATAAATGTAAGTTTAAGTCTTTTTCTTGTGCCTTTTAAGGATTAGATTGATGTTAGTAGCCTAGTACTTCAATATATAAATATTTATTATAAGAAAAAGAAAACCCTAGCTCATACCAACATTGATCAGTTATCTTTTATTGTGTCTCATATTGATTGAACTGCCACGTCGAATCGAATAAACTTTATCATATTATTATTTATATATGCATATACATTACATAATGCTTTTCTAGATGCTTATATATGGTTATATGCAATCTCAAGTTAGCAATTAGAAATGTATAATGCTTTTCTAGATGCTTATATATGGTTATATACAATCTCAAGTTAGCAATTAGAAGAGACGTGTCTGAGTTTAAGAGGATATTATAGTTTTTATCTTCTTTTTAATAGAGAGATGTCTGATAACATAGGTATTATTTTAGATAGGGAAGGCCTTGAGTACAACTTTGGTGCAGGCGCAGCAGCTGGTGGTAGTGTGGCCTCAGGTGAGGATGGCATCATCAAGGAACAAGACCAGATGCTTCCGATAGCGAACGTCGGCCGAATCATGAAGCAGATTCTACCCCCGAATGCGAAGATCTCCAAAGAAGCTAAAGAAACCATGCAAGAATGTGTGTCCGAGTTCATTAGCTTCGTCACCGGGGAGGCATCCGATAAGTGCCACAAGGAAAAGCGCAAGACCGTGAACGGGGACGATATTTGTTGGGCGATGGCGGCTCTAGGGTTCGATAACTACGCCGAGCATTTGAAAAGGTATTTGCATAGGTATAGGGAACAAGAAGGGGAGAGGGCTAGCTTGAATAGAGCTTCAGGGAACCAAGAAGAAAAGGAAGAAAGATCGAATTACAGATCTGTGATTCAATCAACGCCGTTGACGTTCAACGGCGTTGAGAGGATCAATAGCGCTCTTTCAAGGCCGTTTTAAAGGGATACCATAACATCATGGTAAATTGTTCACTTTGAAGACTTGAATTTAACATCATGTACTCCTATCTCATGTTTCTGATGTGTTGAGTCCAGTTCTTACATGTTTTTTTTTTCCAATTGGAGGTGTTTTGTTAAATCCCCAGAAGCCTAGATTCTGTTGTGTGTGAAATTTTTAGGGTTTTGTTTATGCTCTTACTTAAAAATTTCGATTTTAAGGTCAAATCTGCAACTGTTTTTTGACTGTTCTTCACCGGCAGCAGAGAGTAAAGATTACCGTTTTTAACTTATCCAAGAATAGGGTTTCTCTCCAAAAGTGGTAGATCTTGGGACCACACTTAGTATTTGAACACTTCTTTGTTTTGTCGTGAAAACCCACATCAGGTCTCGATCATGCTGCCGTTAATATTGAATATATAGTTTTCCAGCAACTGAGGATGACTGGAAGCCAAGGTTTTGGCTGTTACGATAATTTATATATACATCGTTGGCAGAAGATTCAGACAATGACTAAAGAATTAAACAAAGGAGAGAGTAAATAATAAGACTTTTTTTCTTCTGGGGTTTCTCATTTGGAATTTTTTGTTTAATTAGCCGTTTGAAAAGATACTGTTCCGAGGGAAAACGAAAGTGAAAGATACTGTTTGGTTTTTTTTCTTCTTGGAAATTCTTAAAAAGAAGAAGATGCGATTGGATTTCAGACAGGCAACAAATTAGTTGTCAAAACCTAGACAAATAGATCCTTTGGACCCAACACCATCTTTCATTTGTAATGAGATTAATTTCTTAACTAATAGTCAAGCCCTGCCGACCACCTTTAATTTAATCTAATTAAGTTAAACACCATTCATATGCCTTGACAATTAATTTAATTTCCCATTCATTCGAATCTCCCATTAATATGTTAAGCTGCATTGCACAAATCTTTGGTCAAAAATTAATCTAAGATGATTGTAAGATAATATATGTTCTAAAGATTCTTAATAATTTAAGGGTGAAATCTCACACAATTGGAAAAAGAAAACACTATGATATGTTCAACGATAGTGGGAAAGTTCATTTAAATATTTAGCGTTTTAAGTTTATAAGACTTATTGGTCCTTTCATTTTTTTCGTTTAGTTTATAAGACTTATACTCCACAAATAAACAGATGTGAGATGCTGACTGATGCCGTGCGTCTATTTAGCGTTTGCAAATGCCACTTATGTCAATAAATTTTACAAATACACTGACCAAAAATAGTGCACAAAATTGAACATATTTTTTAATCTTAAATAATATGAATAAATTAGGGTAAACTATACAGATAATCACTTATATTTGAGTAATTTTTTATTTTCTCCACTGGAGTTCTAAAAGCAACAAATTGATCACTAATTTTATTAATTTATAACAAATTGATCACTTGACGAACTGACGTTAACATGGATGACAAAAAAACTGAATTGGACTGTTAACCACTTACTTGACTTGATGACTGCTTATTTCTTCAACTTTAAATTAAAATATAATCTCATTTTACTCATTTTTATTTTAACCCACTTCTTCTACCGTCACCACGTATAGTCATCTTCAAGCTACAAAACATCATGGACACTATGTCCTCTTCAGTTTGTGAAACCTGAAACTCTGAACTAAAAAGATAGTTGAACAATAGTTTCAGAACTGAGAACATGATGCTACATGGTTTGTTGCCATTGTTTCAACCTCTATTAACCTTCCAATAAGAAATTAGCAACACAAATAAGCCAAAATATAGGGTAAGGAGAATTTTAATGTCTATTTGACGTAATTACATCTTTGTTGACCTCAGGATGATACTTCAAAGCATGTTTCCTATCAGTCTTTTTTATTTCACATAGAGCTGCAAGAAGAGAAACACACAAAATTTCATAAGTTAATTATTGTAACAAAATTTTATTGTTACGATAAAATGATAATAAACATAATTTTGTTAGTTTTGTTACAATATAATTTTCATGATGAGGTTATTCTAATAAACATAATAACAAGTCAAATTCGTCAAAATAAATATATCGTGATAAATTTAATATTTTTTTAGTGATAAACCAAAAAGGATACATGCATTTATTTTCTTATAATACCTGAAAAGAACTGGTGCAAACGGTCTTGGAGTAAAGCCAAAGCCACCGCCTTGGCAATATCTGAAACTGGGTTTTGATAATTTGTTTTGCTTTTGAACGATAATGAATGATTTTGGAAAAAAGTAAGGGACACAGATAAGAGCATTCAGTGTTAAAAGAATGATACAATCCATGAATATTCATGAATTAACCCTTTTCTATAGTGTCCAATTGCAAGCCAGGATATCATCAAAAGAAAAGTAGATAAAATTACAAAGGAACTGATAGGTACAAAGAACAAAAAATGTAAAGAATAGAAGGTCACATAGGTAAGGTTTTGGTGATAAATTTTAGTTCTAGCAAAGTTGCTTGGGGCCGTTTTGAAAAACTGGAGTTGAGAATGCAGCTCGCCAACCTTCTTACGTACACCTCCACACGAAAATGCAGCACTCACTCCCATACAACACGTGGATGTAATGTAATGGCTTCTCAAATTTTGGGCTTCTTGCAAAACGAAATAAATTACATCTTCAAAATTTTAGCCAGAGTTAAAGTATACATATGTATGTATATGTGAGTGTTATGACCTTGATGAGGTTGTGTTTGATTGAAAATGGTCCAAAAGGCACCGTGGATGTCCAGAATAAAGAAAGAAGTGGAGTTGGTTTGCTTGCTGAGATTGGTTACCACTTAAAGGAGCAGCTGGTTGTGGAGATTAACAAGGGCGTTTTGAGTTGGGTCGCACTCGAGGTCTGGGAGGTGTTAGCAGGGAACCCACCGCTATTTTTCCCACTCCTAACCCACGTATGCATCTCAAATTCATAGTTAATTGCCTCACAACGCTTGAAATGAAGGCCGAAAAACAGTCACTGTTGAAATATCATAATACAGCTTGATATATAATAGCATCCATCCATAAACCTAGCATGGAAGTCAGACTGCCTCCATATTAAGATTTGTTTGCTTTCAGAGCCGGTGAAAACCAACCCTTATGATATTGCAATCGAGTGGATATTATCGTCTTGTCTATGAAGAGAAGCGATGCAGTAGTAGAAGAGAACATGCGATGGAGTTTGAAGATGAGAGAGTGTCCATGATTTTTTGGAGCTTAAAGATGACTTTAAGTGCTATGGTAGATGTGGAAGTTGTGAGTTGAAATAAAAATGAATAAGATGAGATTGAGTTTTTATTTAAAGTTGAAGAGGTGACCAGCCAATGAGTTGGGTAAGCATTTAATGGTCCAGCTCAGGTTTTGTCACCTATATTAACGGTTGTTAATGACGTGTGATCAATTTGCTACAAATCAATAATGATAGTGATCAATTTATTATTTTTGAAACTTCAGTGAAAAAAATAAAAATTTACTCAAACATTAATGATTATTTAGGTAATTCATCTAATAAATTATTTAAACAGCAATGCATCTTATAGTGTGAATTATACAATACTTGTATCATTTAAACATAACGATAACGATCCTCCAATAAGTGGTCTCAATGGAGTGTTGTTTTCTTTTGGATCTTAAATTCTAGAAGTGCATCTGTATAGTATGTGTTATTAATAATTAAAAAAGATTATAAACATATATTATCTTAATCATCTCATCAGATTATATAAAAATACATAATAATAATAAGGTTAAATTATATATTTAGTACATAAACTATTACTTTTATCCTATTTTGGTACTTAAACCTTTTTTCCTCAAAACTATGTCTAACGTTAGTTTAAGTTTTATTTTGGTAATCTTTTATGGGTAAATTACATCATTCACCACTCAACTATCTTTTCACTTCTATTTTAGCAATCGAATTTATTTTTTAACACTTAAATTTCAAATTACTCCTATTTTAATCACTATAACTTATTTTTATTAATATGAGGGGTTTGTGATTTAGAGTTTGTGGTATAATTTTTGGGTTTGGGTATAATTTTAATTTTTTTATTTCTATTATATATTAATAAAATAATAATAAAAATGTCATATCATAAAAAATATTAATAAAATAAATTAGAGTGAAGAAAACAATAATAATTTGAAATTTGAGTAATTAAAGTGAAAAAAAATTAAACTTTAGTGACTGAAATAGGAGTGAGAAGATAATTGAGTGATGAATGATATAATTTATTAATAAAAAAAATACTAAGTACAAAAATTCCGTTACTTTTTTAATGGTAGGATACCAAAATGAAATATAAACTAAATGTTATATATGATTTAAAAAACTAAAGTTTAAGTATCAAAACAGAACAAATATAATAGTTTAGGTACTAATCATGTAGTTTACCCTAATAATAATGAGTAATGGACAATGCACTACGCCCCAATGCCACGCGCATAGGATGGGCTAGCGGAGCAGATGGGACGCCAACCGCCAAACCATATCCACGAAGGTTGTCATTTATTAGCCGCTTTGGATTTTCCGATATATTTTCTACAAAACCTAGAAGACACAAATATATATTTGGATAAACTACAATGAATATCATTACAATATTAGTTTCATCGTTAAATTTTAAAACATTTTAATTAAACATTTAATATTAATTTCAAATTTAATTAAAACGTTAAACTGTTAAATTGTTATCATTTTGATGATATTATAATTTGATGCCTACGTGAAAGTCAACAAATTTTTTTTTTATTTCATCTCATTATCTTTATAAAAATTGTAAATTTTTTCACTTATTTTTCGTCATCATTAGAAATTATCAATCTATGACATCTTTTACGATCATTAGAAATATAGATAATCTCATCTTATTATCTTTATAAAAATTGTAAATTTTTTCACTTATTTTTCGTCATCATTAAAAATTATCAATATATGACATCTTTTACGATCATTAGGAATATCGATAATCTCATCTTATTATCTTCTAACACTTATCAATATAGATTTTTCTAAAATATCTTTAAAACTCGTAAAATTAAATACAAAAAGACTATTATTTTCGAAGATTTAAGGAATTTGTTCAAAAAATTTGAATTGTGAAAAACATTCTTTTAAGAACATAAATTAACATATATTGAAAGAAACTTTATATAAACGTCATAACGGGAAATTTTTAGATAAATGAACATAAATTATAAATGACTATTATTATCGTCATGAGTGATCAAAACATCATAACATCAAATTTTTAGATAAATTTTCATCTTTTTAAAATGGATTTCGTGAAAGGTCGGTCCAAAAAAAAGAAAGAAACGTTTTGATATCACAAACGACGATAGGTGACGAACAACAATTTACTAACAATGACAACAGAAAGAGTTTACAATCTCTACATGAACTAAATTGAAAAGCAAATTGAAATTCAGAACCTTGTTAAGGATATATGAAAATTGAAGACATTTTATATCAGAATTTTCTTCCCCCACAACCATGTTTTTAATCTTAGATTAGCAGTGTCTATACATGAAATGCAAGTTGAAGTGGCACTAATTTGGTGCCTAAATAGCTAAATTCACCAATGCTTCATGGATACAATCAAAGTAAATTGATATTTACTAGCAATTGTTGATAAGTAAAGATAAAACATCAGAATCCCTGAGATTTCACCTTCCCTTGATACACACTCAACAATTCAGGCACATCCTCCTGGTATCTGCTCACAAACCTCTCCAAGAATCGTTTCTCGACCGGCAGCAACACGGTGGTCAAGCTGAAATCTTCTTTTATCAATCCCTTAGACAACAGGATTTGGAAAACAGAACACCTGGGGATTATCCTCTTCTCCAAGCTGAAGAACAAGACCACAGGGCATTCAGCTATGGCTCTCGATGGCCACCCCATTTCATTAACGAAATAATCCATGCTCTTCATGATTTTCTTCTCCGACAACATCATGGAATGAGGGTGTTTCCTAAATGCCGACAGAATATCGTCTTTAGACCAACCCCATCGCTTGTAAACCTCGAAACACTTGTCCCATATCGACTTGTTCCCTTTCCCAGAAAGGGCGTGAACTGCTAAAACAAATGTGGATTTCCTCGGCTCGAACCCCATTTCTTTGACCTCTCTCACGGTTTCGCAAAAGGATTCGTGCTTTTGCATCATGGCCTCGGGGAAATGGGTTAGTAAAAGGGAAACACAATTCTGGGGCACGCCTGATTCTTTCAAATAAGCTGTGTTGGGGATAAGACTCTTTGAAGGATCTTCGAGGAAGATCCATGTAGTGCGCTTTAAAGCAGAAACGATTTTTTCATCGGATAGCAAAACACTCTTGAGAAACTCGTAAGTGGGACTGATTTGGTTCTCTAAGCTTCGTGCCAAAAGGGTTGGGTCGGAGGAAAGAGTCCTCGCAAGCTCACTGCTTGACAACCCGATAGACCGGAAAAACTCGAGCTTTGGCAAAAGGATATTCTCGGGGTGGGCTAACAGAAGCAGCGGGCGCTTCCTGATGAGATTTGAGATCTGGGTTTTCGAGAATCCGTAGTTTCTCAACAGAGCTAAGACCAAATCGGGTTTCTCAGGGGACTGGAACTGTACCTTCTCGGAAACTGCAATGGCGGATTCTAAGGAAAGGCCGCATGAGTTTATAAGGTAAGTGACGGGGAAGGGGCGTTGCTTGGAAGTGGTTTTGGGTTTGAGAGGAGTCTCCTTTTGTAAAGAGACGAGTGTTGTCTTTACTTCGGCAAGGCTGCTTTTGAGTAGACGTGGCTTTCTGGAATGGAACGGTGAGGAATAGATTGATAGATAGTCCAGTCTTAGGGTTTGGAAATTTTGGTAGACAGCCATTGTAGCAGGTATTGAGTGGATGACGAAGACGATAAAGATAACGGTTAGATCAAATTTGGAAGCTCACTTCCAACTTCGCGCTGGGCTTCACTTTCGACAATCAAATCTCTGTCCTTTACAATCTTGTTTTTAATTTCTTTTTTTGAAATTATACGTATTTTTTATTTATTAGATAAAATAAATAAATTATTCACTTATTATTTTAAAAATCAAGTATAAATTATGATAAAATATTATTCGTTATTGTTATTAGGGAAAACTACGTGTTTAGTAATTTAATTATTCTCACAGTTTTATTTAAGTCATTTAATCATTTTTTTAAATCATATATAAAATTACATTTAGTTATGTTATAATTATCCGCCTTAAAAAAACAAAACCATTGAAAGTGACATTATATATATTTTTAATGATATATCATAATAACCGTTAATTTTTGAATGATGAGTCATCAAAATATAACTTTAATTATGATTTTAAAAATAATAATTGAATGATCAAAATAACGCCACAAAAATAATTACATCACTAAATATATAATTTATCCTTCATCAACCAATCAATGGAATATATAATATGAGTTGAATTCAAATTAATTATTTATTCTGTTATTGATTCAAAGAGAATCTTTTTATAGTAGACATTTGCACGCCTATAATATATAATAAGGGGAAAATTATGGTAAAATGTTTTTAAAAGAAAATATATATTTATATAAATTTAAAGATTTGCCTTTCTTTTGCTGTATACTTTTTCGACTTAAAAAAAGGGTAAAGCTGAAAAATGTCACTAAACTATTCTAAAATATTTTGTTTAGACAGAACCTCAGCATATCTAATCTCTTTTACAAATTGTGTAAATTTAGTCCAAATATTCTTATATGGTTTTTATAAGAGGGTGAATATGTTATATCATGTTAACTAGAAGCAATTTAGAAGAAGTTTGGGACCTTGTAATTGTAGGTTCGAATCTTTTCAGCACGAGCAACAGTCCCAACCTTCATATCAAGACATATGAGACCCAAACCAGTCCCTAATGTTTAATATCAGGAACAGGAAAAACAAAAAACAAAAAACAAAACAAAACAAGAAACAATCACAGAAGAGGAAATCCCATTTAGAAGAAAGCAAAAACAGAAAAGCGGTATCAGCATATTTTCAATGCCAGTCTGTCACAACTCCAAATCTACCGACATTTGGAGAGAATGGGAAACAACAAACAAGGAAATGGGAAAAACAATGGACTTTAACCGATGCCACTTCGTCACATAAGTGAGCATGATCATTGGAAGACTTGCAAAAGATTCCCATAGGTTCTCTTGATCATTGTAATGCTTATTTAATGGTATGTTAACTGCTACATAACTCAAAGTTATTAACGACGACGATGATCACCCAAGATTTACCGTACTACCATTGGACACACAATGGATAGTTGTTAATTGGTACTTGAATTGGAGGTATGGGAGTGGAATTGGTGGGGGGGGGGGGTTTGAAATTGGACATGAAAAGTCATCAACATTAACCCCCATGAAACTGCCCCTCATGTAACAAGAATATCAATGTTGAACCTGTGATTTCCGTTGATTCCATATCAACTCTTGCTGCTCCCTTACTTTTATTTCATACCCGTAATGAATGGACCAAAATGGAAGATAAAAACTACTTTTGAGAAAAATATGAAAGCAAGGATACTGATTACTTATCTTAGATAATAATTTATAATTACTGATTAAAATAAATAGCACTCTAAAACAACAAAAACAAAGACCACGAAAGCAGTATATGGTCAAGTTATGCCTGACAGTTTAGCTCGTAGCAACTGCAAAGCACTATTCTTGTTCTGAAGTTGGGCCCTTTCTTCAGTACAGAAGATGCAGATCCCAGTTGGTTTCTGGAAGAGATCAACCGCTGTCTCCACCCTGTTGACATTCTGCCCTGCACAATAATTAAGCATAAAGAAATTCTCCCAAAAATGGGGAAAAGGGAAATGAGACGAAGAACTACAGATTCACTTGATCATAGTTCAATCCATATTCAATGCATTTATGCCTCCAGCACCACCAGATCTTGCAGTTGTGAGTTCAATATCTTTTGGATCAATTTCCACCTCAACTTCATCAGCCTAAGCCAAAATTCATCTCAATCACAAATGAGCTCAAATGAAAAAGAATAAAAAAGGAGTTTGTTGAATGCAGCGACTAAAATGCAATCTAATGTTTCGTTAAACGAAGGCTTGTAATACACATTCAAAAGGCTAAATTAATTTATACCAATTCCTATACTCAAAACAAAATTGAGATGACATCTTTCACACACAAGATGTCTCAAGTCGAATATGATTCAGGTCTGTAATGTAATCTACCTCAGGCATGATGGCCACAGTTGCTGTAGAAGTGTGGACACGGCCCTGTGTCTCTGTTGAGGAACACGTTGAACCCTATGAACACCTGATTCATATTTCAATTTGCTGTAGACATGACTCCCTTTGACCTCTATAACGCAGGTTTTGAATCCTCCTTTCTCAGCCTTAAAAATACCAGAAATTTGACAGCCATGTCGAGAACAACAGCATGGATATTTTGCTGCTCTTCAAAAACACAAAGTATGAAATAGAAATACTTGCACACAATTTTAACTAAAACTTTCTAGCTATAAGTACTAAAAGTCATATTAACTACTATCAGTTGTGATTGGTTGGATAGGATAAGTAGCTAAAGGCACCCACGTATTTTAGCAAGATACTGAAAAGAAGGTACATTTACTATTACTACAGTAAGACGTACCTCAGAGCATGAAATTAGGGTGGATTTCCAAGAGTTCCGCTCACTGTACTTCTGATACATTATGAACTGGATATTGATACAAAGGATATTAAAGGTCCATTAAGATGTGTTTAAAAAAGCAAGGTTAGCTGATCTATGGTCAACATTTTGCAGAAAAATATATAGGTCAAAACAAAAAATCAAAATGAATCATTTGCCTAGTTCCATAAGCTGGTGATGCAGAAAATAAGTAGAAGCAGAAATTAAATGGTTTCCTGTTTCAACCCCAGAATTTTTTAAAAATATTTCCTTTATTTCAGTGTCATAAAGATAATAGCTGCTTTTAGATCACCTTAAAATATTCAACGATAAAAAATGTTTCCAAGCCATAAATCTGAAAGGATAAAAGAAACATGTACCTACAAGATCACCGGCCCATATTCCAGCCTCATCACCACCAGTACCGGCCCTCACTGGAATAAAGACAAGCATAATTCATTAAAGTGGGAATGTGAAGGAAAATTTCTTAAGATAATACATCTACAATTATCATCTATATCACATGAGAAATAAAACTTGTATGAAGACCAATGCTCAAGTAGATAGAAATATCAGACCAAGAGGAATGAATTTCTGACATGGACTACTGCTCAAAATGCAGCACAATGTGAAGTACAGAAAAGTACAGCCTGAATACTGTCAGACTAGAAATTTGTCACATAATTACCTTCTCAACAAGATTAAAAAAGATGATATATTACCTTCAAGCATTATATTTCTTGCATCAAGAAGATCACCAGGAAGCAGCAGCACCTGCCGACATACAAGCAATATAATAGCTTGAGAGACTAAAAGCAAAAATAGCATAATCAGCAACAATAAGACATATTCCACTGTAAGGCTCAAAATTGGTTAATACTCATCAATGAAAAATGTTATATAAATTGTAAAATAAACAATTAGTATCAATCTCATTCCAAACAATTGGAAGCCGATCAATGTAACTATTTTGTAATGCAAAGAAAAGTGATCAAAACTTCTATCATGCACTTGACTAAGTAGGCAATAGACACAAAGTTATTCAGTCGGACAGTGGCTCCTAGATATGGAAAAAAGTTATAGTGGTAGTGATATATAACTGAAGGTAGTGGGTAAAAACCTTAAGCTTCTCCTCAAGCTCTTTCATTTGACCAGATAAAGAGCTGATTTCAGATGATCTCAGCCATATCTTCATCTGTGCCATCCTCTTAAGCTGAAAAAAGAATAATTGCAAAAATACGAAAAAGGATTGACTAGCTTTTATCTTATTGAAAAAACTTCCTCAAAAAAATAATCATATAGCTGAACAATTTAAAATAAGATGATCGTCAAAATTACCTTTGGCCTCCTCTAACTGCTGCTCACAATCCTTAAATCTCCTGAATGTTGATACAACCTATCCATCGAGAAAATAGAACACAAATTCCATGCCAATGGAAACTATAATTAGAGATGAAAGAGATTAAGTGCAGTAGCCAGCTAAGAGGATGCAAGATGAAATCCAGTACCTCGTCCAGTTCTGCTACATATTAAGCCAGTTTTTGGTATTCAGTGGGATTTAAGACAATATCTGGATCAGCAAGCCTAACCTACAGCGTCATTGTTTAGAGAAACAGAAACATAAATAAACAATTGAATTGAGAGACTATAAATGGCATAAAGAACAATATTTTCAAACTTAAGGTAGAGAAACCTTGGATATTCTCCCAAATAATTCTTTAAGCAATCATCAGTACATTATAACCAGCTCATGCCAAAAACGAAAATTGCCTAAAGTGTAAGTGACAACTAAAGCTATCAGTGGCAGTAAAAGATAAACCTTCTAGTTTAGCGAACAATGGCTGGACAAATTTTCATTTATTAAAATGCATGGTTTTGGCCAATTCGGATTTCCGTTTGTTTTTTTACAAGTTGGCAAAGTTTGTCACATAAATACTGGATTAACCTAGTTGACTAACTTTCTCAGAGCAATTTTTATTCTCTGCAGAGCAAACCTACAGAAACTAATTTTGATTCCAAAAACTTAATTATCATCAGGGCGATCAATTTGACTAACACAACTAAAACACTCTCATTTTAACTTAATCGAAACTTATTTAACAATAAAATAAAGAAAAATTAGGAACTCTACCGATAATTCCTTCCAAGTCTTCTCCGCAGATTCCAGCTTCGTTATCAGGTACGGCTCCTGCCAAAAAAATCAATCAAAAAGAGAAAAACGAAACCAGCAAAAGCTTATCTTGAGCGAAATCTCAGCTCTTCTTTCTTCAGTTTAAAACGACAAAGTTCTTGTCAAACACACCGTCATACAAACGATCCTCGAATCTCCGAATGTAAGCCAAGGGCTGGCTAGCCTAAAACATCTCGACTGAGTAGTAAAACGGCGTCGAACAGGGAAGTGATTGAAAGTAGTAGAGAAAATTCGAGTTGCATAGCTCATTGCAACGCAGTTCATGGCTGCGGTTGCTGCCAATGTATCTCTAGATAAAGCCGATGTTTGAATAACTATGGCTGTTGCGGATAAAATGTGAAGAGAAGTAGTGAGGTTGGAGGGCGTCACCGAGGGGCCAAGGAAAAGACACGATGCCTTCACCGAAAACTCATCCAGACCCTTAACTGATAACGTTCCTCGCTTTTACCAAATATCACACGTGTGAAAATAATACCAATTAACTAATTTTTTTCTTGCATAAATTTCTTGGTTTAATTAAAAAATAAATACACAAATTAAATGTCTCGATAATTTTAGATGTCTAAAAGTTTTTTTTATGAATGTATGTGCCTAACATTTACTCCATTAGTATTTTAAGTGTTTGTTAAAAAAATTTATCAACCACTCAAAATAGGATTCTCAACTTATTTATAATTCTTTTAAATTTAAAATTATTATTTAAAAAATATCTTATTTTTTTCTAAAATATAAAAAAAATCCCTTAAAATTCATAAATTCAAAATATCAATTCCGTCACCGATCATCTTGTCGTCAATATTGTCATCGATCGCCTACCCACCAGTCATCGGACCCCACTCCCGACCATCCCTTTGCTGTCGCCCCTAAAAAAGGTTCAAACATAGAGGTATAAGCTTACTTGGTTAGCACCAACTTGAGTTTTTCTTAGTAGCATGGTATTAAAACTTGTGTAGAGAAAATAACTGAGGCTTGGTTCCTAATGAGCAACGGAACAAGTTGGTTCCTCACTTGGAGGGACATGTCTTGGTTAGGACCCCCAATAAGCTGCTGGCCTATAGACACAACCGGTACACCAGACTTGCACCCCATCTGCTGCAGCACTCTTTCAACCTGTCGCCGATTTTGAACTTTGTTGAGGTTCGTACACCATAGCATTGACCCCCAAAGCCACTTATCAGTCTTGAGGTGGTGTGGCTCATGCAACAAGTAGTCCGGCTATAGATCACCACTGGCCTGTCAGCCACCATCCTTGTAATCAGTTCCATTGTTATCTAGCAGAGAAGAGTATCGGAAATGGGTATTCAATGGACTTTAATGGGAGACTTCTGAAGTTTTAAACTGCTTAGCCCTGACGAGGAACCTAATCACCCTGGCGACCCTGTTTATACTCTCCGTGAACGGGAACAGAAAAGGAATATAGATCTTCATTCCTATAAATTGCCACTGATGATTTTGCGTAACAGTGCAAATACACAAAATGTGACAAATAAATACATTTAAAATGGCAGCACTGTCCTTGACATGCTCAGCATTCAACAATACTAAAAAATCAATGCAATTTAAGTGTAGGATGCAAATTTAGAACTTTCTTAAAAGCAAAACATCTTGTTGATATTTGATACTCAACAAGATTCATCACATGGTCAGCTAATGAATTATTTACTTTTCTTAGTGTCATTTGACCTTTCTTAGGACAGATCTTCAAGGACCTAAATGTTTCAAAAAAAAAAAAGGGTCATTTTCCTGTTAGGTTTCACTTTCATCTCATCATCTATTCACCAATGTTTTTAAAACCGAACCGGACCTTAAACCGGTGAAGGTACTGGTTCACTGATTCAACCGGATTAAACCGCGGTTGAACCGGTTTATATAAAATAATATTTTTTTTTAAATTTTACATAATATTCAAAGTAATATATATATAAATAGATATATATAACACTCTTTTTAAGTTCACAATATTAAAAGTTATAAAAATATCACAACTCATAACATATATAAGTTAAATACCATAATATTAAGTGAAACAAAATTATTCAAATCAACTACAACATAATATTTGAGGCTGAAAAAATCAGAAAATAAATTTGGAACTAAAAAAAATCATAACAAACGACGTCGTTAGGTTTAATTTTTTTTTTAAAAAAACAGAATCGTGTGAACCGGTTGAACCGCCGGTTCACACCGATTTTGCCGGTTCCCAACCGGTTTTACCGGTTCTTTAGCGGTTCATTGCAAAACTGATTTTGGAAGCTAATCGAACCGGACAGGCAACCGGTTCCCAGTTCAACCGACCGGTCCGGTTTTGATAACATTGCTATTCACATATGTGCATAGATTTTAGCACTAAATTATTAAGTTCGAGTATATTCACATCTCCAAAATACAGATATTTTAAAGAATTTCACATCACCTCTCACATTTTTCTTATTTACCAAATCATGCTAAAATAAGATAAATAAATAATGCATCAACAATTCAATCAAAACCAAGTTTCAAAGTATAGTTTAGAGCCAAAATTTGCTTGCTCCCTCAAAACATCAAGTTGTAGTAAACATGCACATGGAAAGGAACATTCCACAGATTACTATACTATACCTATCTGTTCAAATTTGGGATGATAGATGATAGAATTATAATGCTCTCCAAGCCCAAAGGCATGCTTATGGTATGACAACCTGAGAGTCCCTTCAGATGAAGAAGACCCTCTATCAGATTTGTACTCCTTTCCCATCTCCACATCAGGAAAAGATCCTGAAAATATCATGATGCGTTTTCTCAGGCAGTGAGTTAAAGCTCCAAGCTCTAACTGCCCTCCCCATGCAGCAGTCGACTCTACCTCTTTACAGTAGTTCTCGAATCTCTCTGCTAGTGAATCACCAGAATCTCCCTCTACGGTATTCTCTGACAGGAAAAAAGGAAGAAAATCGGATGCATGTTTCCTCATATAAGCAGCTGCCATTTCCCGTAGCTCTTGATAGGTATAGGGAGAAGAGCCCCCGGACAGAAGGGCCAGTTGATCTTCAACAGCTCGGTAGAGGCAGTGTCCATCTGGCTTTATTTCATTAATTGTGAATCCCAGGGGCTTGAGTTTTCTCTCCAATTTCTCACCTTCAATCATTCTATCACTCACAATGTTGCTCTGCTCGTCTTGAATCCTCTGTTCTCTAGCCGCCTCTTGCTGAGCTCTTTTCTCTCGTCTCTTGGCACCTTTGCTAGGCCTGGGATGATCCTGCTGCGGAGTTACAGACACCCCAGCTATGGCCTTCACTATGTTGTCGATATTGCTCTTATCATTTCCATTACTGTAGCCTAGTGAAGCAAGCTCTTCAGTGTGTTTTTCCTTGAGCTTGGCAGAGAGCTGAGAGATCTCTTCCTCCACCTGCTTCTTTTTGGTTTTCTGTTCAGCCTTGCTACCCTTTGCTGCTGCCTTTTTCATACTAATTTCCTTGTTTTGTAGCTCTGACATCTCTCTCCTGTAAAATAGGATGAGAAAAAAATAAGTAAAAAGGGGAAAAAAGATATTATTTAAGTTGAAAAGAAGAAGCCCCAACCAAACTTGCAATGGGCTAAACCCCAGCAAGCAATATGCAGTTTTTTTAGGGTTTAGGATTTAAGAATCAAATATGTTAAATCGAGCATATTAATATTTACATATTAGCCTTACTTCATATTAGCATCTAACCTTATTAAACCATCTACATTGTGCTAGGAAACAATCCAGATTACTTAACTAGATTAAATGTAAAAGCAAGGAACACATTAGTCAACCGTCCGAAACCATGAATAAAGTTACAGGTATGGTAAGAATATATGAAATATCATCATATTACCTATGCCTTGAAAGCATTTCATCACGAGTTTCCTGCTTTTGAGGCGTGCAGGCCAAACTTTCTTCACATGGTTTGTCATCTATGCCTTGAACATCCGCCATCTGAGCAAACCTAAAATCATGGTCAATGATAACATAGAGGAAATGGTAATGTTGAACTTGGGACCAAATCTACGCTAGTTTAAGCCACAATGATGCAGCTAAACAGAAGAAATAGCTATCTTTAATTTCAGCTTTCCGAATGCACATATGGTCAATTTTGCAACCAAAATAGATTATCCATGTATCCACAAGAGAACCGACCATTTAGCCAAAATAAGCTTTCTAGATGCTCTTCTAAACTAAACATATAACTCTTTCATTAAAACCAACTTCGAAAACACTGCTTAAAGATGTAACTTTCCTTTTTTGGAACTCTAAATCCATGCATTTGCTAAAACAATTCCAATTCAGTAGATGAAGTTTCCTGTGTGAGATTGATGAATTTCCTGATGTGAGTAAAGTACTCAATTTAACAGAACCCTAAATTCAAATTCCTATCGAAAAAGCAAATGTGGAAAAAAAAGAACCCACAATTTATTCCTTTTGAAACATGAACTAAACTAAAATCAAAGAGCAACTAGTAAAAAAATTCCACTTCGAATTATTTAATTTGAAACAAATCCTAGCAAGAATGGATGATCAGAAACTCAAAAAGTGAAACTCATCAAAAGTGTGATATAAAATTAGAGATTAGTTCCACAGAAATAAAAAAACAAAGAAGCTATAACATGTAATCGGCATTCCTTTGATAATTATCCTTTGTATCCTTCAAATTTTCCAGTGTAAACTAACAATAAAGGAATATAGATAGAAAGAGCAAACCTTTCAAAAGAAGCACGAAATTCGCTGAAGTTGGCTAGGGTTTTTACTTACAACCTATAAATTTTGAAGAAGACATGCCCACATTTTATTTATTTTATTTATGCAGACTTCGGTCCAGAAAAAGCTTAATTATACTTGAGACCCTCAAACTTTTGGAAAGAAATGAATATGGCTTCTGAACTTATTTTTCACCCAATATGTCCCTTAAACTGAGGGGGAAAATCAATTTGACTCTTTCACCAAAGTAAATTATCATTGAATATTATGTGATGATGTGATAATTCATGAAGTTGATATGATAATTTAAAATATTGATATAACAGTCTATAATGGATAATGTCGTGATAAAGAGATTTAATTGATTCTTTTTAAAAAATTAATTGATTAATTAACTTTTAAAAAAAATCAAAGACTTTCTTTAATTTTTAAGAAAAAATTAATATTTAAAACATATGGTGACATATTTCTCTCAATAACTCGAGTTTGAGTAATTTTATTTATAATATGTGCGTGAATTTTATCTAAGTAATTTTTTAAAATAAAATACCACAATCTATAAAATTATAAAATATTTAAAATAAAATCTAAAAATATTTAAAAATATAAAATTTGATTTTTTTATCGAAAAAGTCGTATATTGTTTTTCTAAGCATGAGTTTGCTATTATTTATTAAACATATTTTTAGTCAAAAATAATAATATTTTTATATTATTAATATTTTGAATACTTTGTATATACATTTAGGCACAATGACAATATAAATATAGTTTGTTATATAATCACACCAGGAATGGATGTGAAGAGTTCTCTTGGTAATAACTGCATATTTATTTTTTGTGAAAGTTGTTAAATTTAATTTAATATAAAGAATAAGAAAATCTATATATCCATTTTTTAGTATTAATATTTTTTCAACTTCTAAATGGATTGTTATTTTTGCAATTTGAGTTATGTAATTTTTTTAATAAATATTATAATATCTATTTTGAATTTTTATTTTTTAGTTTCTTCGTCAGTTACTGAATCATTTTTTTTTGACAAATATGAGGTAAGTACAATATAATATCTATTCAAAGAACACTTTCAACAATTTGACACTGAACACTCGTTTATTAATGAATCATACTTATATCATTTAAGTCATAAAATAAGGCAAGCATATTCAATCATTATTGTAGTCAAATCACTTTAAATTTTTTTCATATTTATGATTTAATCATATGTTTTTTTACTTAAGTAAAGAAGCATGTCAATATATATATATATATATATATATATATATATATATATATATATATATATATATATAGTCACTTCAATATATAATTCATATTTTAGACATATTCTATAGACACACAAACATGTTTTCATGTGGTAAATCTACACCTACCCATGGTATATTATACATATTATATATATGTTTTTAATTTCACATATATCAATCATCACCACACATGTCATATATTTTTATGTCATGCGTATACTAAAACATGCTTTCATTATCATACATTCATATCATCAACACTTATATAAAATATTACTGGATTAATCGAGACTTAAAATTTTTGCATCTGAACATAGTTAGAAAACACCATAAGTCATTTAAATCAATTGTATACACATATAATCATATTTAAGATGATTTGAAGAGTTATTCACAATTCCTAATACATCCTATAATAAGCTAGCATATAAAACGTTCTCACATTGCTTCTAAACTTCTGAATTTTTATTATTGTGGCCTTATGTTCAAGGGATATTAAAAAAAAATTAAATATGTAAAATTATTATAATGACTCTGAATCAATATTCGAGCGTTGATCCGATCTATAGATGGATCAATTTATAACTTGCTTTGAGCTTAATAGAAATTTTTTGAGCTTAATTAAGTAAGAATTAAGCTTGATTGACTATAAAAAGAGATCTTTAATCTTATGATGAAATACGACATAAATAATTAAGATATAATTATATTCTATCAGTCAAATAAATTTTAAAAAATAGAATTTATTGTAATTATATGAAGGTATAATTACTAGGATAATGATTTTAAAAGTAAAGCATCTAAATCCAAAAATGATAAACAATCTCCATAATTGAAATATTGGTCCTATGTTATAAGAAAGCACCTCCTATATAAAAGAATAAAAACAAAATAAATATATTTATACTATACATATATTGGGATCTAATACTTAGAATAACATAATGTAGGATGTAGAAGAAAGAAGCGGATGCAGCAACTGGCATGTCCATGGAGATTCGGATGGCAACGAGAGGGTGAAGTAAGTCGTCCTTTTTTATTTGGTCTCTTCAGCTTTTTTCACCAACTGTTGCTATAGTGTGCTGCCCTTTCCATTCTCTTCCAAGACAATTTGTAGGGATATGGATGGACCGAGAGAAGAGCGGGTGAGAAGGCCCCCTACAGATTTTAAACTCTTAAATATTTTAAATATATTTTTGTATATTTTCGATTAAAAATCTATCTTCACCTTCCTTAAAATTTTATTAAATTTTCATTCAATATAAAAATATTGTGTTTGTCCTGTACAGAGGTGGATAAGCCTCAATATATTCCTCTCCCAGTGGCAACGCAAACCTATCCTACATTCACAACTATTCCTTTTCCATTTTGCTTATCTAAGTCAGTTGATTCTATTCCAGGTTAATTGACCTTCAGAATAGACCACAGTGATTTATTTTTTACTTTAATATTTTGATATTATTAAAGTGTCATTATTCTTTGTCTCCTTTCTTATATTTAAAATCCTTTTCTGTAATGATTAATTATATTATATTTATTTGTGATGCCATATACCAGATAAACTTACTGATTATATTCCCAGCACAAATATCTACTTTTATAACATACAGGGTAGTGATCACTATCAAACAAGTCAGGGTTTTCTTAGGCATAATGATAGAGTGTACCTTAACGTTAGATTAAATAGTCATTTTGACATTTATTTTTGTTTTATAGCATTTCAACCACCAACGTTTCATTTTAGAGCAAAAAGATTTTTCTATTGATAAGAATCGTTAATCAATAAACATTCTAAAATAGGGACTTCTTTTATCTTAAAATAGGAGTTTTTTGCCCTAGAATGAAACGTCATAAGGTTAAAATGTTTCCAAAAAAAGAATAAACGCTTAAATGACTATTTAATCAAACGTTATAAGTTTTTTTACCTTAAAATGAAACATTAGAAGTCAAAATTTTCTAAAAAATATGAACAAAAATGATTATTTAGTCAAACATTAGGGACATTTTTTGTTATTATGCCTTTTTTTATCCAAACAAATATCTAAAGGAACTTCCTTCTTTTTATCCTTTTAGATTGCTTTTTGATTATGTTCTTTTTGATAATTTTTTGCATTAAACAAATGAATACAATTCTCTCCCTTGTCCTTTATAAATAAGAGTGTGTGAAATCTCATAGTCCATGAGAACTAAGCTTTGCCACACATATAACCTTCCTACATTGTTATTAACATCTTTTACGTAATGGATAGAGTACGAGAACTGGCATCGAAGAAGGCCGCCGTGATTTTCACCAAGAGCTCGTGTTGCATGTGCTATAGCATCAATACGCTTTTTTACGAGCTCGGTGCTAGCCCTGCGATTCACGAGCTCGACAAAGATACTTACGGGAGAGAAATGGAGAGGGCTCTTCGAGGGCTAGGGTGCGACCCCTCGGTCCCGGCCGTGTTCATCGGTGGGAGATTCGTAGGATCGTCAAAAGATGTCATATCCCTTCACGTTGATGGATCGCTGAAACAAATGCTCATAGATGCAAAGGCCATCTGGTTCTGACAATGATATCGAAAACAACTTTGCCTACTCAAAAAATGGCAAACTTAGTGCCCTACTGTGACAATAATAACCTAATACCTTGTTGGAAGGGAAAGAAATGTTGTATTAGGGGCTTTGCTTTTTTCTTGAGTTCCTTGAATACATTTTGTATGGAAAAAATGACACCTTGAAAATACCTAAACATGAATCTATATATACATGTTATCTTAAATGTTTACTGGTGCTTTCTTCCATTTCCATGGCACATTCGCACACATCAAGAAAATTGCAGACTAATGAAAGTAATGTGGCATTTCACTTTCTGGGATTCTTTCCTTTCAAAAACATGCATGGAATTGCATGGCCTTAATCAACTTTAGGATCAGATGGTGTTAGAGGGAATCCCCTATTGTAGAGGTCCGATATTTTTAGGCTTTAAGTTTTATATATAGTTTATCTTTATTATTTATTTATTTCAAAAAATATAAATGATAACATCAAATATGTATTTTAGTTTTATCATTTTTATGAAATAAAAAATAGAAAATTAGAAATAAAATTAAAGTAAATAATAAAAAATATATTGTACCGGATATACTAAAATTAAATATAAAATCAAATAACTCCAATTAATAAATATAATATTACTTAATTATTTACTTTTATAAATCAAATAGAACTACACTCATACATGCCAATATAAGCATAAATTTTAAAAAGAACTTTTAATTTTTCACAAGAATTGCTGGGACCCTCCTAACTATGCAACTTCATCGGTCTCACCATGAACATCCAATTAAATGTTGTTTTCACTTGCGTAATATTTTCTAATCAATAAAATTTCATATCCTCAAATATCATATTATCTTATCGTTGTGTGCGATATATTAACAATACTCGTATCTTATCATTAATATTCATATTATATTAACATACTATATCATCATGCATATAATATCATTCGTAACATATTATCATCATGCACATCATGTCATCAACATATACCATATTATGACCATGTAATAATTGTTTATTTTAGTTATTCATTTTAGTTGATCTTCATAATAGAATGAACACTCAAATAGGTATATGAAAATGAGTAAATAATATAACTATCCAATTATACCTAACAAGACTCCACAAACTTCCAAAATTATTTTTCTGAATATATTTATTTACTACATAATTTATCATGATCATCATTTTTTATGAATATTTTTCACTTGTTATAATGTCAACAAAACTTCTCATGTTATAAACTCGCATTAACTTATAGTCAATACGCACATCACATATTCATGTATGGATGTATTTCATTCATCATTGTAATATAACATGATGCTTTCAAACAAATGTAATATATACTTTAACATGCCAGAAAATCAATACACATGTTTTGGATCACTTTGATCAATAATTATCACAGAAACATAATGGTGATATAAGTACCTATTATTAAACAAAGTACTTAATCAAGAATTCAAATGCACCAAAACTAATTTCTCACATTAGATAGTATGACCAAATTTTAATTACAAAGCTCATTTACATGTAGATATGTATGTATCCACAATTAATTTCTTTACTGCCATACAAGATCGGGGTCAATATTTTGTCAAAATTCATAAACATATTAAGTCCATAAGTCATTAGTTTAATTTAATCAATCAAAATCAGATTATTACCAATCTCAACTTTAATTCTTTTTACGAGGTGACAGTTTCTCATGACATAGCTCTGTATATCAATTTATCTACCTGATCTTAGACCAAGAGTTACCTTACCTCGGATCAGCCATTGAAAATCTCTAGCTCATTCGGTAACTTAAATCAAAGACTTTTTTTTTTTAAGATGGTACTTTGTATTAAAAGGATAACAAAGAACACCCACCTCAAGGTCCTCATTAAAAAATTTTCCTAATCCTAAACGGAGGAAAAAGAGTGTATCTTAAGGTGGTAAGGAACAAACACACATAACATTGATACAAAGATCAAACCATTGCCCTACCACCAGAGCCAGCCCCAAACCAAAAAGAGGCCAACACACATACCGACAAGGATTAAAGAAGACACACTGAGCAATCAAACACAACCAGCAAAGGCAATGATAAGAGACTAAGTCACTACTAAAACCTGGTCAACCCTACTATTCTAATCTACGTGAATAAATACAATACACTCACCCGTCCCTCGGTCCATCTCTGTGCATGGATACTCATCCAGAAGCATAAACATTTATGTGGCAATGGATATACATGAACATATGAATTCATGCATGCATGATTGCTCTTCTTCTTTGTAAATCAATTTCTTTACCGTATTCTTTGCACTAAGATAGCAAGAAGATGAAGAATCTGTCCCGTTCTTGATGTCATTGCTTCATGTGATCATTCGCCATCCACGGGCTCACTCGCACTTGTTATGGCACAAATACAAAGAGCAGCAGCAGCTGTATGCTATAGAATGATTAATCTGAAGCGAAGCGAGATTATCTGTGTGCTCACATGTGGGAAGAATCATACAAGTTTGTGGGCGCAACAGAATGAATTACAGCCACCGAAAGCCATCACATTCGCAGTACTTCATTTGTTAGCTTTCTGCGCAAGGTTTCAAAGGAGGCAATTAAGAGAATCTGGTGTAAAAGTTAGCTTCAGAATGTTCTATTGTTGTACCCTAACAAGCTGAAACACAGTAAACACTAAATAATCCTTATTTGAACCATCTGTTCTCAACAGTGTTGATTATATCTTATAGTTATAGTTATAGGCACATTTAGGTAAGGGCACATTTTCTTTTGCATGTTCTTCAAACTAAGGAGTCTACTATATGTCGTCCCTATAAATGCTCTAGTATGGGACTTGAGTTCCAGCAACCTTAAGCTTTGAACCCTTTCTCCCTTTTCCCTCTTCACCTTCTCAAAGTCCAAAACTCCGCATCGTTGGATTGAATACCATCTGAATCCGATCCAATGGTATTTAAACTTTAACTGAAACCAACAGGTAGTTAAAACAGTTGGTTGTCCCGATCGACACTACATAACTTTGCATGTGTACAGCGGACATTGTCAATCCGGGTGTTAACATGGACAAAGTGACGAGATTGGCCTCAGAGAAAGGGATAGTGCTATTCAGCAAGAGCTCATGTTGCCTGTGTTATGCAGTCACAATTCTATTTCAAGAGCTTGGGGGTGATCCCAATGACTCACGAGATTGATCAAGACCCTGAAGGAAGGGTGATGGAGAAAGCACCAACGAGGTTGGGGTGTAACGTGCCGGTTGCAGCCATCTTCATCGGTGGAAGGCTCGTAGGTTCGATGAATGAAGTCATGTCCCTGCATCTAAGTGGAGTGCTAATACCTTTGCTGAAGCCCTATCAGACTCTGTCAAATTAAGCACTTGACAGTCAATAAAGGTGGCTCAAATCAGCACTTATTATGAGCTATGGATTAGCACTCCAGCAATAGCATGTAATATGTTCCTATTTCTTTAGTGAAGTTAAATGTTAATAACTTAATATACTTTTCTTGCTTTGAGCTTTGCTTTCAATAGAATCCGATTGATTACTTTATGTTACTCGGATGCTTCGCTTTCTGCAATTATTTTATTCTTCATTCATTCAATTGCAAAGCCATTTATATAATGCACAGTTGTATGTATGTATATGAACATAAACACGCACAGGAACAAACATAGAGCAGTTTATTTTCGGAGGGACCTAATAAGAGTTGATGCCTTCAACCTTGAAAACGCCTATCAAATTTGGATGGGAATCGGATACAAGCGTATATTCAACATAAGTATATTAGTATATTTGAAGAATTGTTTGAATATACATCAGTGACCCATAACAAATACGAATACTTTTAGAATAATGAAGAATACGAGTAACACGTTCCACGTGAAAAAGAAAAGGTTTTAAAAGAAATCTGAGCTTTATCTGATCTGCTACCGCTCATTCTTCTTACTTTATCTTAGATAAAGAAAGGTCTTACATTCCTTGCAATATTGTTTTTACAATGGTCTTGCATATATTTTTTTTATTATTGCAATATTCTTATCTATAAAATAATATTTTCAATAGATTCCTCCATTGTTAATATGGAGACAGGCATTTGGAGTAAAGCAGAGTGAATGGAAAGTGGAGTCATACAATTGGAATCAAACAATATATGAAACTCATCAACTAAGCTTTCTAATATTCAGTCTCACAGTTCAATTGTTCCATCTAATTTTTTGGCATAATGACAAAAAATACTCGTTACATTTTATTTAATAGTCATTTTGATGTTTATTCTTTTTCTGGAATATTTTTGGGGCAAAAAGATCCTTCTTTAGATGGAGATCGTTAATCAACAAACGGTTAACACAAATGAATATAATATACGATCCTCACTTATCACGATTTTGTAAAGAAATCGAAAAATCCCTCAACAATATATATAACCCAATACCCTTTGATGCATTAGTATTTATATTTTAATGTTTTTTAAGTTCAGTAAAAATGTATTTATTTATAATTGATTATTTTTTTCATACTTATGTTTTTTTACTTGTAGTAAAGATATTTTTGAAAAATATTACAGAACAGGACCTTAGTAACAAAATAAATTATTAGATTAATTAATATAAAATAAGTAATATACTATTTTTGCTCATAAAAACCTAAAAAAAACTATAAAAGGGAAGAAAAGGTAGTTGAAAGAGTTTCAGGTCTTCAGGGGAAATAACTAACAGTAACGATCGCCTTCTTTTTCTCTATTTCTTCGTATCGAACTTTAGTTATAAGTGTAGCCAATTACGTAGCGCCACGTAAAGAGTAAGGTTAATTTCTTCGTATCGACCTTTAGTTATAAGCGTAGCAAACAATGGGAAATTCAGTAGCTTCATTTTACGTTCCCTCAGGGTGTAAAATCGTAAATTTGGCTCTGTATTGGATCCACCATTTTTATCAATTTCGATTTATCACAGAGAATTACCACAGTGGCCAGACAAAGGCTTTTTGCTTCATCGACTCTCTCTCACACACACACTGCCCTTCGGTCAATGGCTTCTTGGTTAGCTATTTCATCGATTTTTTGTTTATTTGATCTTTTGCTGTTTTCTGGTACTTTCCTTGATTCGTTTGGTTGGTGAGAAAAATAGATTAAAAAGAAAAAGAAAAGAAATGGAGAAAGAACCGATGTTTGTTGTGATTCCATTTATCGTTTTATGAATTTGATGAACCGGAAACCTGAAATCTTAAGTTTTAATTACGTTTATTTTCTGATTCTTTTTCCTGTTGGTTAATTAGGTAATTTAACAGAAATACTATTGCAGTTCGATTGTAGTTTTCTTCTCCAATCAGAATAGAATAGCGAGATCTTAAACAATATTATTATTAATTATGGTTGTTTCTGGTCTATTTATATGTCTAGTTCTTGAATTTGAGTTCTGCGTTTTGTTGAAGGAACACTAGTTAAGAGCTAGTAACAAGGAACCTTACCGATTAGCAGTCAGATCATATGAAGTCCTCATTCTTTTGGCGAGGCTTTCAGGCGGCTGATTTGAATGCACTCTTACCAAACAAATTTCTTAGAGCATTTACTGAGGTTGGTTTGATGTAATGTAATTCGTATTAGAGTTCGTGTTTCTTTACATGGGTATGGAAAACAGTAGTAAAAGAAGATAATAAATTACGCGTTTTATGCTTTCTAGCTGATATGATTGACAATGTATTAATACTCTGTGCGCCTGCGTAATTTAACTAGGATAGGCGGTTGAGTTGATTATGAGTAGTTTTATTGTAAGCTAGATTAAGGAAATGCGTTATCGAAAATATTAATATTTTTTTTAATATTTTTGGTAGAACGTTACTTAAAATTTTATTTTTTCTATCGGGAATGTTAATTTCGTTACCTAAAATGAATATTTCTAATAAAAAATAACATTTTAGATAGTGTCTTATATTAATATTTCCGGTAGAAAAAAATAATATTTTAGATAGTACTCTACCGAAAATATTAAAAAATATTAACATTTCCGATAACATTTTTTCTTAGCCTTATATTAAGTTGTCTTTCCTTAGACATCCCATTAATTATTCAAGATTGCAGGTGTAACTTTCCGGCAATTTGTATGTTTTATATTTGAGTTTTAGATACGGGGAATTAATTGTTCCTTGTTCAGGTGACTGAAGAGAGACTGAATTCTGGGACTAAAATTGTTCTCTTATCGCATTCGACTTGTAAGCAGAGAAACAGAGAAAAAAGATGGGTGAGGAGCTTATTGAGCTTAAATTCCGCATTTATGATGGGACAGATATAGCACACAGTACCTACGCGTCATCTATGACTGTTGCAAATCTTAAGCTAAAGATTGTTGTGGGGTGGCCCCGAGGTTATAAATCTATTTCTGTTTTCATGTTTCCTCCTCTTAAATTACTCCTTGCTGAATTGTATAATTGGATTAACATCTGAGGTGCTCGGTTTGTTTGTTTTTATTTAGTTTATAAGTACGAATTCAGTATTTCAGGTCTTTTCTTTTCAGTTGATTTTCTATGTTGTCTGTTGTTGAGCCTGTCATTGATAAGGTATCAATTCAGTGATGAACATTGCTTGCATTGTATATTTAAAAGCAAATTTGGGTGTTACCATATACTCATTTGAATGGCATTGATTTTGCTACTATGTTTGTATATGTAAACAGAATAAACCTTTTCATTTTGATGATACCATTCAGCTTTGAAGAGAAAGGCTGGTGTTGGCCATTTTATATGAACTCATGTATGCACGAGTCTTGTTTATGTATTTTATAATGATGGGATTGCAATTTAAATGTCTTGGATGATGCTCCTCCCCAGCAACAGCAGTTTGAGTTAATGGAGACTTCGTGTAATTTCAGACAAAACAATAGCACCAAAATCAATAAAAGATTTGAAACCTACACATGGTGGTAGAGTTCTGGAAAACAACAAAACTCTCGCTGATTCCAGGATAACAATTGGCGACCTTCCTGTTGGTTTTATCATAATGCACGTGGTACTACAGCCAGCTAAAGGAAAAAATAAGACAGGTTTGTCAAGTTCTCTTTCTTGAAAAAACATTTTTGGAAGGATGTATTTCATGAAATCTTCATGGTATTTAAGTTCGCTTAGAATTAAGATACCTTTAATCTCTTCATCACATACAAGAGTTGCATTTAGATCCTTGCTGAATCCATGACTTGCAAAACCCTCCAACCAATTCCTGCTACATAGTTCTCCCGGAAAAACGTAGTTACGAAGCTAGAAATTGAACAGGACCAAGATTTTGTCGTGTTGTCTATTTCTAGATCGAGTGGAGTTGGCGGGGCGGTCGTCTTCCTAAAAATTTAAAATTCTCAAATAATTTAGATACTTTTTTATAGTTTTTTATTGTTAATTTATTTTTATCTCTCTAAGTTTTTATAAATTCGTCCCTTAACATTAAATTTTGCATCTGTCCTTACCTCCTTCAGTTGCTTTCGTCCTTACCTACTTCAGTTGCATTCGTCTATATCATCATCTTTCATTTTACCTAAACAATTATGGGGACTTATTTTTGTGAAAAAACACAGATGATGCAGTAATGATCTTAAACTTTTAGCTGTGTTCATGATACTTGGTACATGCTTTTGAAAAGGAAAACATGAAAATAATACTTGGTTTAGTCTCGCTTTATCATCATTGGAAAGAACACTTTATGATCTAAACTTGTGTTTTTGGTGGACTGCAGAAAAGAGCCAGGAGGATAAGCAGAAGCTGAATTCATGCGGGTGTGTTATTCTTTAATCCGTAAGCAATTTCCCTAATGGGTGTGTCAACTTGTCATCGGAAAACAGATCTTTCCTTTTCACATTTAATTCTCAATTGGTTTTTGCTTTTGAAATGGTTTTGATCTGTGTAATGGGTACCGTGTTAGTATGAATCCTATTACCATTCTCTTATCAGGTATTGAAGATGACTGTTCAATATGCTCTAGGTGTTATATTTATAATCATAATTCCGTATCTGTTTAAATATGTAACAAACATAAATACTTTTAAAATATTAAAAAAAATTAAAGTAACGATTTACGGATAAAAGAAGGTTATTTGTTATCACATTCTGCATTGTACAGAAGAATAGAACGCATTTCAACTAGAAACAAATAAAGGGATGATAGAGATGATGTTGGAGCAAATTAACTTTCTCCATATATACAAAGAAATCTAATACTTCCGTATTGTTTAGTAGAGTGCTGAAGATTTTAGAATTCCCACCATTCGCATGGTATTCGTTCCTTTTTCCCTTTCGTAACAAGTAATAATTAAGTTTAAAAAAAGGCCTCGTCTCCCCATAGAAAAGTATTTTACTTTTAGTGCAATGTATTATGGTTAGATGTGAAATTAGTACCTACATAAATATCTTGACATAATGACGAAAACACATCCAAATCCAAATAATTGCACAAATGATCACATTGCTCTTTATTTGTTTTCTAAAGAATTTTATTCTCCAACATTTTAATTTTTGATTGAAACAAACTCTATTTGATGATAATCGTTAGTTGATTAACGATCAATTCATGTAGAGTCTTGGATGGAAACCGTTAATTGACTAATAGTGAACTAATGTTGTTGATGTGGTATATGTCATATCATCCAAAGTAATAATGTAACATGTGTCATATCAGTAATTGAACACATATAAAAATGTCACGTTAACAATATGAGTTAATTGTTAATCAACTAACGATTTTCCATATAATTGAATTTTATTAATAAAAATAATTGAAAGAATCAAAATTGCAAAACATTCAAAAAGAAAATTGGGGAAAATAGTCACCAAAAGTTAAATTCAAATATGGGGAGGGGAACGAAACATTCTATTAAAAATGACGTCCAACATCAAAATAATCCAAAAACCTTCATAAAACTTTTTGTCTCTGTTGAACGAGACGCTTTACAAAGTGATGAAGGACTAGTGAGCTATCTAAATAATTTGGCAGACTACTTCGTTACACAATTATGATTATATAGACAAACAACCTTTTACCAAATAGGGGATCTGAAAATATGTGACCACCAACAAACCAATCAGAAAACAAATGTCGTGAAGATTTTTATACGAGCACCAACACAACCGCAGAGGTATGAGAAAAAGGTACCAAAAGTCATAAGGAATATGCTGTAATAGCATAGAAAAATGTGTCACAAGAACAGAGAAAAATGTGTCACAAAAGCAGGGAAAATTGTGTCACAAGAGCAGGGAAAATTGTGTCACAATGATAGAGATTCTTATTTAAAATTTAAAAAACTTGCGGGAAAAAAAGAAAAAAAAAATAAAGAACATAGTATGAAAAAGAACAAGAAAAATAATAATCATCGACAACCAACAACTAATATTAAGATTGATGTAGTCGTCGACTAAACAAAAATTAAAGAAAAAGACGATACAAAAAATATTGACAGGAAACTTATGTAAGAGAAAAATCGATAAAACTCAATTATTCAAACTAGAAGAGGTGAACCAACCACGGTTGACGAATTAAATTTATTCTCATCAACAATTGGTACAATGAGCGTAAAACACCTCATATCAAAAAAAATCGGTCGAAATGCACCCCAAACCAATGGGTAAACCAATCGAGTTGCAACATACTTGGTTGCTTCTGGTCGACGCCTATGACCTCCTAAGCCAATCGAGTTGCAGTCGCAACGAAAAAGTTGGGTAAACCTTCCAAGCCAAAGGGTCGCAGTGCAAGGAGAATAAGAAATAAAGGAGGACAACGCGAACGATACACTGTGCCAATACGTTGTGCCATCCTCACCCGAGTCTCTTCACTTAGAGGATGTTTTCATACCACCAACTTCAGAATCTGCCAGGTCTGTCAGCCAAGAAGCGAAGGATGCAACTTCCACAAAGCGTCGCTTCTGAAGCATCAAATGTGACATCAAGAGAGAACCAACAGAATAAGTGAGCAACACTTAATTGTTAATGGAGGATAACGTTTTCCTTCTCCTCAACCACTCTCCTTAAGGGTAGTCCTGGTAAGTTAGACAAATAACTTTGATCATTGATGAGCTGCTAATAGATACGAGAATTGTCTCTCCATTAATTTATGAATTAGGAATTAGTTTAGGAGAAACCTACTAGTTAGATCTTCGTCAAGTTTCATACTTAAATAAGGCCTAGATTAAAGTTTATTTACTTCCCAAACAAAGTTAGGAAAATTTTCCTTTTAGTGCACTATATAGTACTTGAACATTTCTAGTACACAAAAAGATTAGAGTTCTTTTTCTTCCGTTTAAGTACCAAGACTTTAAAGACACTTCTGCAGTACTAGGACTGGGTATTTATATCCTCTGTCATGATATCATGACGTTGAGGTGTCTCCAATGAATTGCTACGATGGAAATACCTTCACTCTACGACTAAAAGAGCATCGAGTTTCTTCTACACTAAGTGTTAAGATGCCTCGACTCACTCCAAATGTTAATTTTTATAAAAGAAATAAAAACAATTTTAATGTTATTTTTGTCGATGTTATAATAACTTCTTAGCTTGACCTAGTAGTTAAGTGTTGTATCCCAACCCAAAATCTCTTGTTTGATCCTTATCAAGTGCAATTCAAATTAATTTATTAAAATTATATGTGGGTATCCCATGTCAACTTCTCTTCTGAAATAAAAGTAAATTAAAAATTTAATGATCACTCTAATATAAATTTTAAAAGTTTAATCATCAAATTAAAAATATTATAAAGTTGAAGGACTACTAATGTGGTGAAACTTACAAGACTCGTTTATTCAATATTATTTTATAATCCTAAATAGGGATGGGCATGGGTCGGATTTTTGGTCTACCTGACCCGACCCGAGAGCAAGAGAGCCTCCACCCGAGACCCGACCCGACCAAAACAAGTTTTCACTCGACCCGAATATATGACATAGAAACCCGACCCGAAATAATAAAAAAATTATTTTATTCAATAAAAATAATGACTTGATTGAAAAAAATTATATAGAGAGGGGTATTATTGTAATTATACCTAATTATATAGGGTAAAATTATATATTTTTTCGAGTCGAGTCAGATTGTTTTCACCCTAAACCCAAACCCGACCCGACCCGATCGGGTCGGGTTTAAATGCCCATCCCTAATCCTAAAGTAAGTATAATGAAGAATTAATCATTTTGCTTTAATGTCAAACCAAACAGTCGATAAATTTGGTTGTTTACTTCCACAACATCCATTCCTACCAATTATATTATTTTTAATTATTTTCTCAAATATTTGCTTATATAAAAATAATAGGCATAATGATAAAACTACTCCCAATATTTGCATAAACGATCATTTTACCCTTATTTCTTTTAACATTTTAGCTTTTAACGTTTTAATTTTTTATTAAAACATACTATGTTTGATGGAAATCATTAGTTGACTAACAGTGACAACATGTTGCTAATGTAGTATTTTCAAATGTGATCAATTATTGACGTGACATGTACCCCATCACCAAAAATAATGACGTAACATGTGTTACGTAACCTAAAGTGATGTTGTGACATATGATACGTCAACAATTGAACATATGGGAAAATCTTACATCAATAATATGTGTTGATCGTTAGTTAACTACTGATTTTCATTCAACATATATTATTTTAACAAGTAAATAAAATATTGGAGTTAAAATACTCCAAAAGAAAAATAAGAGATAAGATGATTATTTTTATAAATGCTGAATATAATTTTATTATTAAAAAATATTTCTAATATTATTTTTGAAAAAATTTAGAAAGACAGAAAGAAGAGTTGAATTTAATGTTTTGAGTGATGGGTGGGCTCAACCTAAGAAATATAGAGCCTTAAAAAGTAGGTCATTTATTAATCACCGTAATGTGTTTGCTTAAGCTGGTTGATTTTGAAGCACTGAATATTATTAATTTTTTAAATCATACATAATATTATATTTTAATTTTATTTTGATCATTTATCGTTAAAAGAATAATAGAATTGTTGATATGACCACTTTTAATTAGGTGACTAAAATCATGTTAATTCTTTAACCGTAGGTGACTAAAATGAAACCAAAACGTAAATTAGATATAATTTTGAAACAAAAAATAATTGGCTGACCAAAATGGAACGAAAGTGATAGTTGGAGTAGTAAGCATGTTGTTTACCCATTCAAATAAGAATAGTACCAACAACACTAGGGTTGTCAATTTGGTGAAAAACAAAAAAGAAAAAACAATCAAGCAGTCTCCGGTGGTTGCAGGCTTGGATGATTGTAGATCATACCATAACACCCAAACCCACCGTTTAACATTAAAATTCCTTTATTTTTGTATTATTTATTTGGTTTATAAAATTTAATCTTCACACTATTTTTTTTATAAATTTAAGTTTATATTTTATTTCTTATTTGGAAATTTTATTTCTTTCTACATTTTTTTCATTTTCACTGATAGTTTTTATTTAACGATTATAAAAAATAAAAACAACTTTTAAATTCTTTAGGTTTATCTTTTTGTCAATTTAAATCATAATATTTAAAGATAAGTATAATAGATATCATTCATTTAATAGTATATTTTCTTAATCGTCAATGTTTCTTAATGGTCAAATTGATAATAATTTAAGAAAAATAATATTTTAATATTGGGTAAAAACTCCAGTTTCAAAATATTAAAAATATGTCATATTATTCAGAAAAATAATTTTAATTAGATGAAAACATTTAGAATGTTAAATATTAAATTATAATATTTCAAAAAATATAATATAATATAAACTGATAAAAAACATATATAGTTATTAACAAATATAAATAAATGTAAACAAACATAAAATGTATTATTTCTATACTCGAATCCGACCTAATCTATCCACACTTCTACTCCGCACAGGGGTAGTTTTGTTGTACGGCAGTCTAATTTAAGACTAATGAAAGGCACAATCGAAAATGTTACTTTTTTTAACATTTCCGGTTGAATACAACCTAAAATATTAATCTTTTAACATTTTTGCAACCTAAAATGTTAAAAGAGTTGCGCTCAACTAGAAATGTTAAAAAAAATAATATTTTTAATTACGTCTTTCTTTAATCTTAAATTATGCATTTTTCCTTAAATATTCCCTTGCGCACAACCTTCTAGATAATTATGTCTGACAGTGTTTTTGAGATATTTTTTAGTTAAAGTTAGGAAGATTAAGAATCTAATGATCTCGATTTTATGGCTTCTTTTGATCTGTTTTATTTTTTTAATTTAAACATTTGTATTCGATTTATTAATCAATTATTTTAAATCAAATTATATATATATATTATAAAGATAATCTAATTACTCTATTCGTAAATTTCCCATCTTCTAGATTAGCTTATAATTTATTTTGAGCTGTTTTATTAGTAATAGTTTTATGTGCTACTAATTCACGTGGATTATGTTGAATATTTGAGAGCAATGGGTTGTCGCTATTGACAGCAGTAAATAGTGCACGTTTTAGACGTTGAAAATAACATTCACCTAATTGTAGCCACTTTTGTTGATGATTCAAAACGCTTATTCTCCTTTTTTTTTAATTTCTTTCTTCTTTGGGCGGTGCAGACAAACATGGAAAGTTAAAAGATGTCGAATTTCGATTTCATCCTCTTACTATTACTAAATTTCATATTTAATCTCTATTTTTTTTTCCGATGCACACCTAGGTAGGCGTGCGCGTATCATTAAATAGAGTAAAAAAATTTGAGTTATTTGAATTGACTAATCATATTTGTAATTCAAACTTGATTTAAAATAAATTCAAGTAATTCGAGTTTATAAAGTTCAAGACAATTTTTCACGTTTATGTTTAAATTTAATTGTAAATATTTATAATATTATGATACTATTTAATTTCAATTTAAATAATTTTTATAATCATATAAAATATATATATTTTTTATACGTGATATACATATATCAGAGATAGTTGATGGACTCGTTGAAAATTAAAATTCAATCTACTAATTACTAAAAGTTTTAAGTTATTTGAGTTATATTTTATAACTCGACTTGAAATTAAATTTTTTAAAGTTAAATTTATGAAATTATAACTTAAAATTAAATTTAAAAAGTCAATTGTTTTAATCGAATATAATTTTACTTGCTTCGGCATGCGGTGAGATTACAGGACGAAAAGCATTATTCAACAAAAATAGAATATCGAAGGAGCGTGGGCGTCGACAGTTGCTTCCAGAAGATTTGGTATTATATTTGTGTTGCGGGTGGGTCTATCAATTCCATGTTGTTTACGTATATATTTGCTTCTAGAAACAGAAGTGGACGTCATTTCCATTATTTTGGATAAATTATATATTTAGTCACTCAATTTTTATTTTAACTATTCAACTATTTTATAATAATTATTAATGTCACGTTTTGATTTTATTTTAATCATTCGACATTAAAAGATAAATATAATTATTGACGTGATATTTTTTAATGATGATGTAATATCATCTTACGGTGATATATCAACATCACATTATGATGATACATCAGCATTACCTTAAATTTTTAACAGTATATGATCAAAATGATATTAAAACATAAAATTAATGATGATTTTAAAAAAAACAATTAGATAACTAAAACAAAATCGAAATAATAGTTGGATGATTAAATACTTAGTTTACCCTATTGTTTTAATTCATTTTCTTTGCAATTCAAAATAAAGTATAAAAGTTTCCAATGCGTCAAACGCGGCAGCAACAGTAGCCCCCTTCTTTTTCTTTTCTTTTTTTTTATATTTTATTTTATTATAATACAACAGAGTGGTAATAAATCTTTCTTTATTTTCTCTTTGTTTAATTAAAGATATGGGTATTATTAGAAGTAAAGCTGTTGATGTGTCTTCTTTCTTTCTCTTCGAGGCTACCGGCGATTCGGAATCCGGTGGTAGTTTCGATGCCGCCATGGCGGATATCAACGGTGAAGACGATGACGATGATGCAGAGTCGTGTAGCTGTGAAACTGTTCTTCCTGGTGTTATAGAGATTGATAGCTTAAAAAACAAATTTGCTAATATTGGTGGTGATGATGTTTATGTTGGTGTTGATTTTGATGATGACGACGAAGACGACGACGGAGTGGTGGAGCAAAGGGAGGTTCAACTGTATAAGAAATGTTGCAGGAATGATCAACGTGTTGGGGTTTGTGTGGCGAAAGAAAAGAAACCCTCGACGGATGTTTCCGTCGAGAACTCGAACGAAACCATGAATGAGACGGAAAAGAACAGGTTGTTCTGGGAAGCGTGTTTGGCCTCTTAGAAAATCTGGGTTTTTCTTTCCTTCCTTTTTCCGGACTCCTCTTTATGCGTTCTTCTCCATGTTCGTATTTTTTAGTTCTTTTGTTTGAAATTTATGCAAATTGTGTATAGATAAACATGATTGTATCTATGAGAAGAACACTTACAATGAATCGATGGATCTTTGTTTCTATAATTTCTTTTCTTTTGCAGTTAATAATCTCTGGGCCTTTTCTCTTTCTCCAGGAACGATTAGATTATAGATTAATGTCCTGCGAATGATTTTAAGTAATTGGTTTATTATCTTAATAATTATAAAAATAATTTTATGCTTAGTTTACAATTATAGTTATAAATATTTATTTTAATTTAATATATTTTTTCTTTAATAAAATTAGTGATTTATATTAAAAAATAGAGAAAATAACCTCAGTGACCGAAAATGTCTTATAATATACGATTTTAACCAACTTTTTTCCGATTTGCCAAAATGACCAATAAAATCGAAATGCGATCTCCAGTGTCACAATGCGATCTCTAGTATCGCAATGCGATCTCTAGTATCGCAAATCAGTTTCCAGATTCGCAACGCGAATTTAACTATCGCATTACAAATATGTAAATCGCATCGCGTTTCTGACTATCGCAATGCGATTTTCAAAGCGCCATTAATATCGCAACGCATATTTTATTTTCAAATTCCAAACACGAATATTAATATATCCAGTAATCGCAACTCATTACCTAAAACCCTAAATCACAACTCAGTCTCATCTCCATCTCTCACTCTCTACGGCGACATCCGTCCCCATCTCCGACGAAATCCGTCCCCACATCCGGCGAAATCCGTCTATCTCCATCTCTCAGAGACACCCCACAATCATTCAGAAAAAAAGCAACCAATCAACCACCGAGGGTTAATTTTTTAATTTTTTATTTTAAAATTTTTGCATTATTATTAGGTTTTTCATATTGAAATTAATGATAAGTTTACTGGTAATTTCAATAATAGATTAACCATTTCACTTAGATTACTAATTAAATTCATTCGATTGCTGTCAATACTGCTAAACTGTTTAGTCTTTAACCCTGTGAAGTTAGTATTTGTCTTAGTTTTGTCTTTTGACTGAAGTAATGCAATTCATTCAAGTTTCAATTTTAGACAATGACTATTTGAAACCGAGAATCACAACGCGAAATGAAAATCGCAACGCGATTTTAGTTTCGCGTTGCGATTTTAGTTTCGCGTTGCGATTTTCATTTCGTGTTGTGATTATCTCGTTGCGATAGTCAAATTCGCGTTGCGATAGTCATTTTCGTGTTGCGATTTTGATTTTCGTGTTGCGATTTTAAGTTTCAGAAACTATTCTTCTTATGCAAATTGAAACTTGAATGAATTGCATTACTTTAACCAAAAAACAAAGACAAATACGAAATTCACAGTGTTGTAAATTTAAGTTTGAAGAATAAACTACTACTACTATTTATGTTTATTATTGTTTTTTGTATATCTTCACAGTGTAGTTTTTGGTATATCTAACTTGGTATGTTTATTGTTTTTGTAGAACTTTTTTTCAGCTCAATTGACCTTAAGGAATAAAATAAGCATAGTCACTACAATTGCGTCGAAGCTTTCACCTGTACAAAGAAAATTGTTTGAAGATACTTGCTTCAGGCCACCGGCGTATACGTGTTAAGGGCGGGAGGAGTTTTGCTTAATCACTGGTCTACGCTTCGGACACGATGATGTAGGTCAATACACTAGTCATATTACCCGCCTATCATGGTTATCCCAGGTTTTTCCTGAGCTGTCAATAGAGAAGCCGAATTTACACGTCGACGACTTGATGAGATTAATTAATAAGAAAGATGGTTTTACTCGGATGGATGACGTCGATGTTGTCCGAGTATGCCTTTTAGTACTTTTGCATGCCGACTTTTTAGGCAGAGAGGCCAGACAACCTATTCCTAAAGACCTAATATTATTGGTAGTGGACCTAAATGCATAGAACTTGTTTCCGTGGGGTTCGTATCTATGGAAAGCTACCTGGAATAAGTTATCGCTGCCTTTGATGACCGAAAAAGTTTGCGTGGCGATGGTTCCAATACACTTTGTCAGCTTTATTTGGGCCTTTAAGGTAAGAATTTCTATATAATGTTTCCAAAATTATAATTAATTTTTAACAATTACTAATGTTTGTGTATTATCTTGTTTGATTTGGATATTTGAGGCTTTTCCCGACATGCAAACATGCATTAAAACTTCAAAGATATTCCTAGGGCTATTTCCTGGAGAGGAAACGACGGTGTTGGATTGGGAAGAGTTACTATGGTATACGACAATAAATGATGTAAGTTAACACAAATACTACCATATATAAACAAGTTATTACTAGTACACGTTTAACTTTGTTTGAGCTTTTATATTGTTAGGAGGCCGCCAACACTCCATTACAGAGGCTGACACCCACGGAGGCTGAGCTTGCCACTGATTGGTGGCAAGCTAGTAAGCATTTTTTTGATGGCACGGATGATGAGCAACCTCCACTTCGAGAGCCAATACCTCACCCAGAGCCATCACCTGATCGACCACACTATACACCTCTACAACGAGAGCCATCACTTATTCCGTCACATCATCGAGCCTCTTCTCCACCATCACCTCATGATAGGCGACCGACAAAGATGCCACGACATTTATCTCCCTGTTCTCCACCTCCACGGGATGAGTTAGGGGAGTTACGTGATGAGGTCAATGCCTTGCGGGGGGTCAGTACTTACGTGATGACAATGGTGCATGGCGTGATGAGGTATCTACTTTACGTGGTGAGTAGCCGCTCTACGTGAGATGGTAGCATCGTTGCAAAGAGTTCTACTCTACGCAACGAGATAAGTTTAAAATATTTCATATTTAACTTGATTTACTCGTAATTTCACTTAGATTAACCATTTCACTTAGATTGCTTAGTAAATTCATTCGGTTGCTACCAATACTGCTAAACAGTAATAACCCTGTGAAGTTAGTATTTGTCTTTTGGTTGAAGTAATGCAATCCATTCAAGTTTCAATTTGCAGAAGAAGAATATCCGCAACACGAAACTTAAAATCGCAACGAGAAAATGACTATCGCAACGCGAATTTGACTATCGTAACGGGATAATCGCAATGCGAAATAAAAATCGCAACGTGAAAATCGCAATGCGAAAATGAAAAAATTCGCGTTGCGATTTTGGTTTCGCGTTGTGGTTTTCTCGTTGCGATTTTTATTTCGCATTACGATTATCCCGTTGCGATAGTCATTTTCGCGTTGCGATTTTAAGTTTCGTGTTGTGATTTTAAGTTTCAAAAACTATTCTTCTTCTGCAAATTGAAACTTGAATGGATTGCATTACTTCAACCAAAGACAAAGACAATACTAACTTCACAGTGTTGCAAATTTAAGTTTCAAGAATAACTACTACTCTTATTTGTCCTTGAACATGCACTAAACCTATGTTGTCCTTTTAAATGTTTATAAGTGCTTACTTCTGGAATGTATCTGATGCATTTGTGAACTATGATAGAATAATGACTTGGTGAATACCGTGCATGTTTGAAAATATGTCTTTGTTTTCACTGTTTATATCATGTCTATTTATTGATTTATGTATTAATTTATTTTTAATGACCCGATAAGGTGGATGCTTTACGTCGGGTTTTTCTTGCACGATGGGGTTCACGCATAACACGGCGTGCACGTGCCATTACGTATCCGTTCACCCCAATAGTGCAAAGACTCCGTAAGAAGAAGCCCAACTCACCTGTCATCGTTCAATAGGGCTCTCCTATCGTTCAAGAGGCTCCTATCATCCCTCAAGAGTCCCCTCCCACCGTTCAAGAGACCCATGTCATCGTTGAAGAGATCTCTTCCACCATTCAAGAGCCCGATTCACACGGCGTAATATGTCAAATTATTGAGAAACCCTCTCACGTGCCGGACATGATGGATGAGTGTTGGCTTTCGTATGAGTTACCGGCCAGTACCATTCCGGCAGATGAAGTGGATAGGAGAAAACTACCGGAAACAATTCTGGATAATACCCTTTGGGCTAAGACCGCATTTGATTTTTATCTACATGAGCGGAGCCAGGGGTGTTACGCTGATATATACAAACTCAACGATGATATGTATTTGTTGCTTGATCGGTCTTGGTGGGGTGTGTTATTAGAGGTTGAAGACATTGGCTATTTCGATGGGGTAAGTCTTATATTTTCTTATATTTCTTTTGATTAATTTTTTTAAATTTATGTAATTCACTAATATGTCTTTTTTTGTAAAACAACATATTGATGCATGGGTGTCACGTCTTCTAATAATGAGGAAACTGAGGAAAAATAAAAAAAATACGCGATATACAATTATGCCGACGTCTTTTCACGTAGTTCACTTGAAGAATCAACGAGATGAATCATATGTGTTGGGTAATGGACAAGCTAAACTTTATCCTGCATGGTGGGAGGTCGATAAGGTTAGTATTTATTTTTTTAAATATTTTAAAGGTGTTCATAAATAAGTGCGCAATTGAATTATTACTTATGATTACAGGTGTTTATCCCTGTTTTGGAACATAATCATTGGTTTCTCGTCGAGCTTTAGCTCCCATCCCTGAAGACAATAGTATATGACAGCATGATAAATTACATATCATTGTCTGATTTGAGAGATATTATTAAGGGATAGAGCTCTCATTTTGCTAAATTCTTGGATGCGATTAATTATTGGATTTATTCTGGAAACAAGAAGCCAAATAAGTTCAATGTTACAGTTATCAGAGACGAGACCGCGCCACAACAAACGTAGGGAGCCAGAGGGGATTGTGGTCCTCTCGTATGCATGTGCTTGGAGCGTTTGACGACAGGAAGTATACAGTTTCTACCTCCCACCGATAGAGATAGAGGTGCAATAGGCTTGTGGTTTCGGCATTTTATGGCTAGAGCGATATATGCGAGACGTTGCCTACCTGCATCCACGTTATGAAAGTG